ATTTGCTTACAACAACACAGTCTCTAACACCACAAAAGAGACACCTTTCTATGCAAACTATGGTTATCACCCTAGGTTTGAAGTGGCAGAACTGAATTGCCCTGAAAATTTCAAAAACCCTTCTGCTACTGAAAGAATCATCTACCTTAAGGGCCTCCAGGACTATCTCAAGGTTCAAATACAGCGTGCACAAGACGAGCAGGCTCAGGCCTTTAACAGGGGGGTGGTTGCACCACAATTCAAAGTTGGTGATCAAGTCTTTTTGTCTAGAAGACATATCACAACTACTAGACCTTCAGACAAACTTGATACTAAAAGACTTGGACCTTTTAAGATCACAAGGACTATTGGCAAGAATGCTTTCGAGCTTGCATTACCACCTACTTGGACTATCCATAATGTCTTCCATGCATCTCTCTTGTCTAAGGCACAAGAAAGTTCCTTAAGACCACTTCAGTCTCCTCCACCTCCTGTTCTGATCTTGGATCAACCAGAATATGAAGTAGAGTCTATCCTTGACAAAAAGACACTTAGAGGTCAGGACTACTTCCTCGTTAAGTGGAAAGGCTATCCTACAAGTGACAACACTTGGGAGCCTAAGAGAAATCTAAAAAATGCATCTAAGCTCATTCTAGAATTTCTTTCTAAGAAAGCCAACTGGCTAAAGGGCAAGCAGACAGCCAACAAACGTCCTTAAAAGGGGGATCATGTCATACTGACATTCGTTGCACTCAGTTTGCTATCAAACTCAAGAGCAAACTTAGAAATCTCCTCCTCAAACCTACAAGTCACCATACATATCTGGGCTTATCACACCAACAACAGAAGCAATACTACTCAACGATTGCTGAAAACTCTTCTACTACATCTGTTTATGCTACATACATCACGGCATATCATTTGGACACTCATTGAACAAGTTATTAAGAAAATCTCCTCCTTAAGGGGGTGGGCCAATACTACCACATGGCATATCTCTACCAACTAGAGGCCTAGGAACATGAACGATAGCTCTAGAAGCTTCTACAACCCTCTATGATTCATTACACGTCATCGCTCCTTAGTTACCCACAAGATTGGTTAAGTTATGACATAATTTGTCTATAGGTACTCTGACCTTGGACCTCCTTTTCACTTCCTATAGGCTAGGAACCCAAGAGATGGTTCTATGGGATTCTCTTACGTTCACTACATGATTAGCAAGCTAGTTGTGGGTCGCACTTGATTTCTAATACATTTACCAAGCCTGGTTAGTCATGGAAAGTCATGGAAAATAAGAGAACTACACTCCTTTGGCATAAATAGGATTGCCCTTTCCTTAAGAAAGGGCAAGCAGGCAATACAGTAAATCGACTAGCACATACTTCTACGTCTTTTCCAAGCTTCCAAGCATTGATCTTGTTATTCTCTGTTTTTGAAAAGTCAGTGAGGTGCTAACCTCTGACTTACCCCTGAGTTCTCAGACTCAACATTTGTTGCAACTTGTCTAAACCACTTCACCACATCATACACCTGATTGCTGCGTTGTGGAATAGTCTAAGCTACAACCCTTTGGCTCTGTTTCCTAAGACAGTGTGTTGTCTTAGTAAATTCATCCCTTCCTTGGGTGGCTAGATTCTCATATCTGGTGCACCCACCATTACACTTGGGTGGCTAGATTCTCATATCTGGTGCACCCACCATTACAGTAGAGTCTTGATAAGACGATGTAATCCTTAGTTCAATATCGTCTTATTGAATATATCGTTCAACTGAATATCACATAATCCACCTATGTAAGGTACTCTGAATACGGCTATTTACATCTAGGGCCTCTAACTCCTGCTCTAGTCATTCAATTGCTCTTAAATGAGCTGTTTTCACATCATCTCGACCCTTAGTAAACTCAATTACCACTTGTAGAGCCTAAATAGCTTCTTGTATTGACTGTTTCAGCCTGTTAGGCTACGCCTCTTCTTCTTCCTCATCTTCATCAATTGTCTGTAAGCCAAGATGCCCTTTTATCACGTTCTGTAAGGCCTCCTTAGGATCTAGTGATTCTTGTTCACTCTCTGCCTCTAACTCTTGTTCCTCAACCAGATTTAGGAAGCTGGAAATTGCCATCTTGTATATTCCTAGCTCTTTTAACTTGCTCATAAAGACTCATGATATTCTGAGAATCAATTGCAATAGGAAGTATATAATAGTTGTAACTAGAGTTGACTTCTAGAAACAGTTGTAGATTGTTGTATTTAAGACGTAGTTATTCCAACTTCTTAGAATCTAACGAATAGCTAGGTGTAAATCCATTAAGTTCCTAGGGTCCTAGTTATTGTTATAACACTCAAGCATATATAAGAGCCACTGTCGTCTATAATGAGACTTAAAGCTTTGTATAATTCCTTGATCTAAAGGCTGAGATCGACTCGTTAAGTTCTTTAGAAGCTAACAGATTTGTATATTAGGAGGAGGTGGTGTAAATTCGACAGCTGTAAGGTGTGTAGAGAAGTTATTCATTGTTAAAAGGACTGTACGAGTTGTTCTAATGTGATTATAGAAGGCTTGAAGCCATTTAGACATCATAGTTGTATTCATCTAGGCCTTCTTATTCCACCTCCACTCTCCTTCCATTGTAGAAACACTTGTATTTCATAGGCTCTTGGTGTTTTGCTCTTTCTAATGATCCACACATAATCTATCACTCCTAGTTGCATTTGTAGCAAAATTGAGAGACAGACGAGCCTTGTCCTTCTTTAAACCAGGTCATAGTTGTGTGGTAAGTCCATGAGAAGGTGTCATCTTCTAATAGAGTGCAGCCTCATCTATATTATATATATCCTCATCGTTGTATTCAGTAGCAATTGTACGTAGGCCTTTTATTTCGTCTTCTGCAGTCTTAGAAACAGAGCCAAGCTCTCCGTGTCGACGGTAATCCTAAATATGATGTCGCTATTTGAACTTTTAAAGCCAGCCGACACTGAACTTAGGGCAAGGACATTGTGAATATTAAGGCAATTGACGCTAGATTTGTTAAGCCTTCTGCTGTAGGAGTTCTCCACTTGTTACGCCTCCCTGTTCTTCGATTCGGAGTTGCCAATTGAATAGAACTGCCTCAAGATCTGGCTAGTTTCCGGTTCGTATGCGGGCTAAATGTCTAGGGCTCTTAGAGTTATCAATAGACTCAAAATGAGCTAAGAGAGACTTATAGAGACAGTCCTATTCGTTAGCTGTAATTATCATAGAACCATGTAATACAGGCTTTTTAAGAAGGTTAAGGGGTTTGTTTAAAGGCCTACAGACGTAGGGCTTGTCGCTAGTGTATGTGGATTCGTTGTTTTTGGGGGCATATTGAGTATAAAGGCTTCAAAAATATCATATATTATAGTACAGATTGCAGAAAGGTATCACGATAAGACGATGTTTTAAGGAATTGGAGCGATGTCGTGAATATCGTATATTGTATGTTCAATCGGTTCCGAGAAAAACAGCACTATCGAATACAGGAGGAGACAAGTTGTGGCTTGCCACAACTTGTCTCCTCCTGTACCAAACCACCCCGTCATCATGCACCGAAGGCCACCAGAAAGGCCTCCCCATGCGGCCTCACCGCGTCTATCGACGACAACCAACTATAGTTAGTTTCGCAGTAGCAGTACAGTTCCGCACATCAACGGCTGGAAACCGAGCGACGTGCGTGATTTGTTCCACGCTCAACCCGCCCGTCGGTACCAACGTACGCGCAATATAACAGTCCGTCGGCAAATGCGCGCTGGCGAATCTCAAACTACTCGACTGTTCAACTACTGACAACACTACTCCTCTTCCCAGCTATCAGTCTGCCTGCCTGTCGGTCTTTGCCAGATACGCCGCGGTTATCACAAGCCATCCCGATCGACCCAGCAGTTATCACCTGTATCTTGATAGCAACGCCGCGCGGGCTGACAGATGGACCGAGGCGTGAGTGGGGGCACCATAATCCATCCCATCCCATCCCATCACGTCGCGTCGTCGTCGCTTTCTGGCCTCGCCATACCACCAAACCCCAAACCCTCCCCGCTGCATCCATCGATCCGTCCAAGTCGCTACGTCTCATTTCCCTCCCTTATCTCGTGCTCCTCCTCTACGAACCCCGAACTACCTGACTAGCAGCATCAGCGGTGGATTATGTACTCTACCGTAGGAGCTACCACACCAGAGTGCAGGCGCATCGGTCGTGCCGAAGATGAAGATGGGATCGTGGCGCCACGCCCAGAGGTACAACCGCCATACCGCCGTGCATGCCAAACCATCAGGAATCGGGGAAGGGGGAAGGGGGAAGGGGATCAAACAGAGAAAGAGCGACTAACTGAGACGGGGAATAAGACACAACGAGATGAGCACGAGTGAGTGAGAGATAGCACCGACGACATTCCCACCACCTCACCACTCGAATCCTGCAGTTGTGTACCCGTAGTACCGTACGGCTGCATCAACCACACACCTCGACTTACCTTTTGCCCCAATCGACCCAAGACCAGCCAACCAAGACCAGTCGCAAATCAAAAGCAGGCAGGGTCGTATCTATCTTGTGTCGTCTCTCCCTCGACCTCAACCTCGACCACGCAGACACCACACGCACACGCACACGCACCTGCAGATTCCCAACACCTACATTAAGCACCCCCTTCCCCTCCTCCTCGCTCACTCTCTCTTCCTCCCCAATCCCACCCACCATGTCCGCCTACGACGGAGGCTCAGCCGGGGCAGAACCCGTTGCTGAGGAAGCTGAAGAATAGGCATATGCAGATGATTGCCATTGGTGGCTCGATTGGTGCGGGTTTGTTTATTGGGTCTGGTAGTGCGCTGTATAATGGTGGACCTGGTTCGCTGGTAAGTTCGATGCTGGTGTTGCTAAGTTTGAGCTCCTGCGCACAAGTGAGAGCGCAGATGGGGGGACCAAGTTGGTTGGGGGCGAGGCTGACATGCGGTGTGTCCGACTATCGATTTCATCATTGTCGGTGTTATGATGTTGATGACCGTTAATGCTCTGGGTGAGCTTGCTGTCATGTGAGTACTCTCCCGTTCCTTCCTTCCTCAGTCTCAGGTCGCTGGCCGCGATCGAGCTGAACTTGGCCTGGCAATCCGGACGTGCGACTCGATTTGTCAATTGTATCAGGCGCCCGTTCCTGGCTGCTTGGTCCCGTTGCACAATGAGCGCGACCTGGCGACAGCTCTGGCAGCTTAGTCCAGCTCCGAAAATGAACCCGAGCTGACTTCCCCCCAATAGGTACCCCGTCAACGGTGCTTTCTTCACGTATTCTGCTCGCTTCATCGACCCGTCATGGGGTTTCGCTATGGGCTGGAACTACGCCATGTCGTGGCTTGTCGTCTTCCCCTTCGAATTGGTCGCCGCCAGTGTCACCATCCGCTTCTGGACTGGAAACGATAACGACAACAACGCGAGTGTCAATGACGGCGTGTGGATCGCCGTCTTCCTCGTCATCATCGTCTTCGTTAACGTCTTTGGTATCCGTGGCTACGGTGAAGTCGAGTTCGTCCTCGGCACGATCAAGGTCATTGCTGTCATCGGCTTCATCCTCACTGGCATCATCATCAACTGCGGTGGTGTTCCCACTGACACCAGGTACGTCTCCCCAAAAATCCGCCCCCCCAGCTCGATTTCCAAGCCCAGAAACTGACATAATAAAACAGAGGATACATTGGTGCGCAATACTGGCATGCACCCCAGCAAGCCTTCAAGAACGGTTTCAAGGGCTTCTGCTCCGTCTTCGTCACCGCCGCCTTCGCCTTCGCCGGAACCGAGCTCGTTGGTCTTGCTGCCGCCGAGGCCGACAACCCTCGCAAGTCCCTCCCCAAGGCCACCAAGCAGGTCTTCTGGCGTGTGTCGCTCTTCTACGTCGTCTCGCTCTTCGTCCTGGGCCTGATCATCAAGTCCGACGACCCACTTTTGTCCAAGGCATCCGGCGCCAACTCCAAATACTCCCCCTTCGTGCGCGCCTTCCAAGAGGCCAAGATCAAGGTCCTCCCCTCCATCATGAACGCCGTCATCACCCTCTCCGTCATCTCCGTCGCCAACTCCTCCACCTTCGGCTCCACGCGCACGCTCCAGGCCCTGGCCATGCACGGCATGGCGCCCAAGTGGTTCAGCAAGGTCGACAAGCACGGCCGCCCCTGGGTCGCCATGACCTTCGCCCTGGCCTTCGGCCTCGTCGCCTTCATCCGCCTCTCCCCCAATGGCGGTGACGTCTTCGACTGGCTCCTCGCGCTTTCGGGTCTCTCGTCCTTCTTCACCTGGGGCTCCATCTGCCTCGCTCACATCTGCTACCGTCACGCGTGGAAGCTCGCAGGTCGCGGTCTCGACGAGCTGCCTTTCGCTGCCATGTTCGGTGTCACCGGATCGTGGATCGGATTCCTCCTCAACGTCCTCTGCCTCATCGCTTCCTTCTACGTCGCCCTCTTCGTAAGTCCCCCCCCCCTTTCAACCCACCACCATCACCTCCACCCCCAAAAGAAAGACCTTTGCTAACATACCCCCCTTAGCCCGTCGGAGGGCCCGATCTCAACGTCGAAGGCTTCTTCAAGAGCTACCTCGCCGGCCCCATCGTCATCCTCTTCTTCGTCGGTCACAAGATCTACAGCCGCACCTTCAAATTCGGCGTCCACCTCGCCTCCGTCGACGTCGACGCCGGCCGCCGCGAGCTTAACCTCGGCGAGGAGATGGAGGCCGAGCGCGCTGCGTACCGCGCCATGCCCTTCTGGAAGAAGGTCTGGAACTTCTGGTTCTAGTGGCGCCGCGGCTGTGCTGTTGCACGCGCGGTGTGTTGTTTCGTTTTTGGATACATTTTGGATTTTGTTTGTTGGAATGAGGGGATGCAAGGAGGTGGTGGTTGTCTAATTGTGCATGCACACACGGCGCCCTGTGCGTTCGTAGTTGTCGTCGTAGAGCGTTAGAATGATAGAGGATATATACCATACCAATCACTCAATCCCTTCTTTTCCCAACCTTCATCGTAACAAAGTGACATGACATTCCATAAGTTGCGTAACACTCAACTACGTTGAAATAAACTTATTAATGTGGGCAGCGGAACTCCCTTATACTTTACCTACCCCCACCACCCACTAGAATTTCGGCGTTCTGCGCCGCCCTTTAGCACTACAACCGACAACCCCCACACGCACCGCTATTAGCCGCTGCTGCCCAGGCGCGACAGCGGGTGTCGGCACGGTGTGGATCTCAGCTACTATAACGTGGAAAAATCGTGACTGCGGGTGCGGAATGGACTGGAGGGGGGATTTTTATGTCATGGTGGTGGTGGGTTGATTACGATATAAATACTTATGTGGTGATTACTTTACAGTGGATGGTGTCGATTGTGAGGATTTACAGTCCGGTGGGTATTATATTTATAAACCCGCCTCGCAAGCTGTTGTGGGTATGTATGTGAATATGTATGGCATATCGCATCTCATCATATCCGTCCTGATCCTGTCTCGGTGAACGACTTCAGTGAGTGTGTCAGATTCCCGCGCTGATTCCCTCTCGGCGCTCGTCATTGTCATCCTCGTACAGTATCCCACTCCACTCCCTTACAAATCCCCTTCGTCTCCAGTGAACTCATCTCACCTTGCCTCACCTTCCCATCGCTTGTCCATCCACAACGTGCAAATCCCACCAGACTCATCATCCCAAAAAAAATAACACAAAAACCCACATCAACCCCCCCCCCCCCTCACGCACCCTCCACCGCCAACCCCCCCAAAATCCCCAAAACCTCCTCCCTCCACCTACCCTCCCCCCCACTAACCCTCTCCACCTCCACCACCGCCTCCCTCCCCAACTCCTTCAGCACCTCCCTACAATACGCAAAGCTGCCCTTCCCCTCCATATACGCGACCGCATACCGCTTGACCTCCCCATCCGCGCTCTTCTGCCTTAGGATGTTGAGGAGCACGAGCGAGGGGTCGACGCGGATGGCGTGGATGATGGGGAAGGAGAATTTGCCTTCGGTGAGGTCCTCGCACATCCCTTTGTTGGTGGAGTAGGTGGGGGAGAGGAGGTTGGCGTAGTCGTCGCGGATTTGGTAGAGGATGCCTATTAGCGAGGCTAGGGGGGCGAAGTCGCTGGGGGTGGTGTTAGTGGTTGTGTCTTGACGGTAAGAGAGTGGGGTGGAATGGGTTTATGGGAGGACTCACGTAGTAGATGCGCTCTCAGCCTGCATCAAGCGCACGGCGAGCCGGAACAGCCCGCCCGTCTTGTTGCGTACCATCTCGAGGTAATCGGCTTCAGTAGGCACGGTAAGGGTGTCGCGCCAGTACAGATCCATGCCCTGCCCACGATGCAGATTAATCAGCTCCTCGCTATATATGCGCACCGCCTCGCCTCTGGGCTTGCTATTCCCGCCCTCCTTATCCCTTAGCTCGTCGAGCTTGAAGAGCTCCTGCAGCGCGAGGAAGTATACGTAGTTTGCTGAGTTGATCGTCTGCGCTGTGCCGAAGATGGAGTGGGCGACGGGAAGGCCGCGGCGAAGCAGCGAGCTGTCTTCGACGTCGTCGACGAGGAGGGAGGCCGTGTGGAGCATGCCGACTACCTTTGTGATGATTGCGAGGGCGGGTGCGGGGACGTGAAGCCAGGCGTCGAAGGCGCCGATAAGGCGCGAGCGGATGTCTTTCCCAGGGTGGGAGTCGAGATAGTCGTATGGGCCTGTGAGGATTGTTTCTTTGGCCTCGGACCACGGCGTGGGGCCAGTGGAGGGGTGGGTGGTTGTGGTTGTGGGGGTTGAAGAGGCCACTTGGTCGATGGCGGCAGGGGATACGGAGGCAGCGAGGCTGGAGTGTCGAGAGTAGAGCCATGAGGATTCGGGGAGCGCTGGGACGACGGGCTTCTGTGTTTGGGAGGGCCCGTTTGTTGAGGAGGTGCGGGGTGGTATGGCGCCTGGAGAGGCGAGGTGCGCGGGGCGCGTCGGAGAGGATGGGGTCTTGTGCGCCATCTTGGGCGGGTATGGTGTTCGTGGGGAGGTTATTGGTGAGAAGAGGCTGAAGGTGCGTCGGTTGGGTCGGCGTAGAAGGGCGGAGAGGAAGGCGGGGGATGTTGGTGAGCTGGGCGTTCGTTGTCAGTCTTGCCGAGGCAGATGCGAGGGTTGAGGAGTAGTAAGTTGATAGGATTAAAAAATGGAACAGTACATATTATTATCGATGTGTATATTTGCAAGTAGATGTTGGTTGAGGAAGATGGCATGCGTTGGAGGGTATTAAAGAGGTTGCCTGGATGAGGCCGTCGGCCTCAGTCGCACATCCGTTTGAGCCCGCGCACTGAGTCGTCGATCCTGCGTCATGATTATTATAAGCTTCATCTCTAGGAAAAGGCGCCAACTACTGGGTCAAGATTACATACCGTATATGCTTCGGTCTGCGTAAATGTTCGGAAATGTTGAAGAAATTCGATAGCGGGGAATGCTCTTCGTATGTGGCATCTCGGCGACGCACCAGGCTGAAGCTACTAGCTGCAACTCACCGACGCTAAGCCCTCCTCAATAATTTCTGCCATTTCACTCCGCCTTGCTGCCCTGCCAACGGCCGAAATTGTCTCGGGCATGGTCTCTCACAGCTTCAGATACAGATTCTCAACTCATTCTCATCAACCCAATCTATCTCCATCACACACCTCAGAGTTTTTACTCTCTTCAATTCATTATTCTGTATTATCATTTGTGGATGACCTTATTATTCTGATTGCACACTGGGGAGACCACTGCGTAGCCGTTATCAACCAAACACACAGCACTCTCGGAACCATCCATCACAGCATCAGCATCACAACACAACTTTGTAACACCTCCCACCCAGGACGGGAAATCCACCCTCCACTTCCTCAAAATGGAAGCTCTACTCTCCCTCTCCTTCGACAACCTCTCCTCCTACGACGCCTCCAAAATCCGTAAAGGCATGCGCCAAGTTGAAGGCCTACTCGCCCAAATCTGCCTCTCAAAACACAACCCAAGCAAACGTCACTCGCCCCTCGTACCCGCCGACAACCCTCCTCCATCGCCGCGAAAAGAGCTTGCCGATCTGCCTGATGATCCTGCTTTCCGCGAGTTCTTCAAGCTACAAGATGGCTTCGAGTGGAATGTCGCCTTGCGCCTCGTCAACTGCCTGGATCGCCTACTAGGGAAGAGCAATGATGGCCAGAATGATCTGCTTATTCTCGCCTGTCTCGACTTAATACAAGGGATATTATTACTGCATCCTTCGTCAAGATCGCTGTTCTCCAGAGAGCTATACATGAACGTTCGTCTCCCCAACCGCCCACTCTCACATACGGCTACTAACTGCCCTACCACAGCATCTTCTCGACCTCCTCGAACCCATAAACTGCCCAGCGATTCAATCCGCAACACTCCTCACCCTCGTCGTAGTCCTCCTCGATACCCCGGCCAACACACGTACCTTCGAAGCGCTCGACGGCCTCCTCACTGTCACCTCGCTCTTCAAGTCTCGCTCCACCCCGCGCGATGTCAAAGCCAAGCTCGTCGAGTTCCTATACTTCTACCTCCTCCCCGAGTCACCCAGCATCCCCTCCGCCGGCGCCCGCGACTCTGTGCCCGCCATGCTGCAGCGAAGCCCGAGTAAACTCGCCGGCGCCTTCGGCCGCGAGATGAAAGGGAGGGGGGAGCCAGCGGCGGAAGTTACAAGGAGTCCGATTGAGAAGCAGGCGCTTGTGAGCAGGCACCTAAGCAGTGTGGAGGATCTGGTCGAGGATCTGCGTGATAGCGCGCCATTCGGGGGGATATTTTCTTGAGCTTCATGCTCCCACCTTTTCTGTTTTGGATACTTTGTAAGCGATAGCTGGTCATCGTTTGTTGCTGGCGTTTTGTCTTTGTCTTTTAATCTGGTTGCGGATCTTCGGAGTTTTAGTAGAGGTACGGCGTTGCATAGCGGGTTGGGCACAGGTGCGTGCAGGTTTTGTGCTCGCTTTCGTTTCGAGGGAAAAGCGCGCATACCCCATGGTCAGAGTCAGGGACTCGTTGTAATATATTATCTCGTCCGTAGATTCCATGATATCTTAACCCAAAACTCCAAAATATGCACTTTATTATCACCCACCCTCACTCACTCCAACTCAACATGCTCATTTACCGTCTTCGCCTCGTGCTTCCAGTACTCGTGCTGCGTTCTAGGTCCCGGGCTCACCGGCGTCGGCCGCCCCAACGACTCTCCAATCTCCACCGCGGGTTGAATATCCCCCGGTTGATCCGGACTCACCGGCACCGCACCACTTCTCGCTGCCCCCGCCCCCTCCGCCCCCGTAAACGGTCCAACCCCCGCCGCCGGCCCAAAGTAATCCTCCGCCCCCCTGGCCACGCCCGGCGCCCCAGGCGTACTCGCCTGCTGCATCGAAACCACCATCTCCGTTCCCCCGCGCGCACTCCCACCCGCCTGTCGCCGCCTCGACATCCACCACCACACCGCCGCCCCGATCACCAGTAGCCCAATCGCCACGCCCGCGCCGATTCCCGCCTTCGCGCCGCTGCTCAAGCCGCCCCCGCCGCGAGGCTGCTCTATTACACCGTTACCCGGGCTACCGCCTATGCGCCGCTCGGTAGGGGCCGCGGAGCCGGTGGCGCAGTAGCCTGTGGAGCCCAACATGGTGCAGTGGGCGGCGGAGTTGCAGCAGCCGCCGATGTCGTCGGTGCAGGGGATCTCGGAGGTGTGGCAGGAGGGGGTAGAACTGGTGGTTGTGCTAGAGGTAGGGGGCAGGGTTACGACGCAGCCGTTAGAGACGCAGGTTGTGCCTAGGGAGCAGCATTTGCCGCCGAGGGAGTGGGGGCATTGGTACTCGGAAGCGGCGGAGCAAGGGCGCACACAGCAGCCTGGGAAGACAGTAATGTTGGGGCTGTGGGTGGAGGTTATGGTGGAGCCAGATGAGACGCGGCGGGTGGGAGAGGTAGTGACATCGGTGATGGTGGAGGTGGTGGTGCAGTAGAACAGTGCTGTATCCATGCATATATTCACCGACGCGCAGTTATTCCCGATGGCGCAGCAACTAGAATTGAAGTCTTTATCGACGAAGCAGAACTCGGTGTCGAGGCAGCAATCGTTTGGGAAGCCCGTATCATCGCCTGTGATTGTCAGTTCTCGACCCAGGTTGCTAGAGGGCTCAGCGACTCGGCTCACATCGGTGGGAATTTGGCTTCGGGCATACGCCGCTGTCCCGCCGCTCTCCGAGCAGCTGGAGCTGAGAGACCAGGAAATGCCGCGGGCTGATGCCAGTGTCAATGTCGGGCATTGCGGCATAGCGTCGCCCCACGGCGGCGGCTTGCGGCATTGTGTAGATCCTTCTGTGTGTAGGTAGCAGATTTTAGATATCCACAGACCCCAGACTGGAGACGAGCAGCTCCAGCCTTGTCTGGCCGTGGATAAATTCAAAGGACAGCGAAAGCGACTGACTCGACAGGTATCTTTGTCGTACCTTCGATGCAAGGAGGATGCGCGCTCAATGCGTCATAAACTGGTATGCATTCCGACCACATACACGTACGATGGTTGGAGATGAGGATGAAGAAATGCCCACAAAGGAAGCAGGCACACTTAGCCGGCGACTTACCAAAGCCATAACACGGCGATGCGGTTGTCAGCTACAATTTCTGTGCATGCAGGGTGTAAAGTAGAGTAAATGAACATGGTGGAGGAGATACACATACAACGCTACACGTGTAGATTGATATGCATGTTGATGGGCATAATACAAGGATAACCACAAAACCAGCAATAACAGACAACAAAAACCACACAATGTCGACCGAACTTCCTCTTGAAATAAAACGCGTTGCAGCCACAATCCATCGGCAAGTCAGCCACGGCTAGAAGTTCGCGAGCATGCTGACAACGGCGACGCCGATTCAAAATCGTCTGACTATTGATAGAAAAGTGTTATCTGCTGCATATAGCGTCCCTTCGCGCATCCTTCCGTCCTCGCCCATAAGCCCATAAGCCCATAAGCCAATGCGTGCTGGGTATCCCAACCATTTGTACGCCGCCCACCATAGAAATGCGCCTGACTGTATAGGAGAATAATAAATAGTATGTAATCATGCCGTGGCACCCCCCTGGCCCTGTAGCGCCATCTTCGTTCCCCCATATATTACTCTCCAAGTACCTCTAGAAGCGACTCCCAATCCACGCGGTCTGGAATAACTCTACTAGGCGCCTTCTCAATCTTCCGAAATCCCGGAATAGGACCAACCTGATTGATCCCCGACGACCTCCCCATAAATATTCGTAGCAGGTCTCTGTTTGGGTCAGCAGCTGGTGTGCTCGGTGTCCGGTCTGTTCCTATCCTCAAAGAGGGCGGCGGGACATCGACAACGGATGCGGCAGGGCTGGATGCATTGGATGAAGGCGACATACCCCAACGGCCGAATATCCAGCCTCCGAGTTTCTGAACGCTTGTGACGGCCTCGTCTACAGAAACTGTAGATTTAATAGACAAAGGACGTTCAGTAATGCCAATTGAAGATCGTAGAAGAGAGCTGCTGCTGTAATTCTGTTTTGATAGCGTCGGTCTGGGCGTGTCGGCAGGAGATAAGATGGGCTCTGTAGAGACAAACGAGGTGCTCACGCTGCTGAGATCTTGCCGTGAGGGTGTCCGGAGTAAGGCGCGTGAGTTGCTGATTATTAACTGTGAAGGACGGGACTTGAGAGTGTGTATGTCAATCCCAGAAATGGAAATTATCGATTCGTGGGACGTAGACCGACGGAGTTTATGTGACGAGTGGTGGGAGGCATAGGGGTCAAACCCGTTGAAAGCTTGTCCAGAGTTTAGATCGAAGTTGGAGTCATCCTGAGAGATGCGACGGCTCTTTGGCAGCTCCACTAGCTCAGAGATATGGGATATGTCGTTATCTTCTTCCTCATGAATAGTAGTTGTCTCTAACATCTGTGCTTTAAAGCTATGCATGGAGAAATCCGAGGGACGTCTTCGGTGCATTGGTTTAATGCAAGGCGAGAGCGGATCATTACTCGACCCCGGAGATGTAGGTCGTGAGTAATCCGTATTTTGGTCGACAGACATTCGATCGAAAAGAAACGAGTTCCGGTAATTCGACGTTGGAGAGCTGGGTTCTGTAGATGCGAATTCAGACTGGGTGGACCATCGATTAGCAGTCCTTGGACTGGGGACTGTGCTTGAGGTTTGGGACAAGATCGTTGCGGCGATTGACGACTGGCTCTGACGTGTGTTATAACGCCTCGAGTTGAGTCTTGTAGGCGTAGTGATAGAAACATTCCGTTTCCTTTTCGGAACGGCGCGCCGGCTCTCTTCCTTCTTCGCCGGGGCGTGATAGTGATGATGGACGTGAAGTTCTTGCGAGAGTGATAGCGGTTCCCTGACCGTTAGTTCTGCTGCCAGTGTCACTGGGGCAGTGTTTTCGCCAGTAGCGCCATCTCGAACAGGTTGGTGGGCCATGAGTTGATCCCGTAGCTTCTGGACTTCGTCATTAGAGCTCGTCAACATGTCGCGCAGCTCTACAATGCCCATCTGCAAGTTGACATTGTCTTGCAAGATATCCTTGACGAAATGCGACACTACATTTGTACCCTCTTTTCCCTGCCCAGCGTTTGATACCGCCACTTTCCCGTTGCTCGCATCTTGAATTGCTTTGTCGACCAGCTTCTGCCTCTCCATCCGACGGAATACTTCTTCGTGCCGCGCTTTCTCCTCAGTTGACTCTCTCTCGATCCTCTCCAGCTGATCCTGCACTTCTCCCAATCTCCTTTCCGCCTCTCTCCACCTCCTTACCGCAGTCCTCGACTCCGCCTCCGTCACCACAACCGTCCCTCTCAAGTCGTCCTGCTCCTTCTCTAACTCCGCAAGCTGTGCTTCGAGATCATGGGTTCTACTTGCCAAAGAATCCAACCTCTTCATCTCCAGGAGCGTCCCTTGTAGCGTCGCCTCGAGGTTTCCAGCACGAGTTTCCGACTCCGCAATCGCACCGTTCAATTGCTCCAAGTGGTTCAACAAATCGCGATTCTCCTGCACCGTCCGCGCATTCTCAGCTTCGAGGCTTCGCTTATCGGTTTCGAGGGATTCGATGCGCAAGCTCATCTGGCGCCGCGACTCTTCCGCCTCGACGATATAGGCTTCATGGCGCACGAGAAGGGCCTGTAGAGAGAAAAGAAGCGAGTTAGTTATTTCGCCTTTCCGAAAACTTATGTCTCCCATGATGATATCTAGTATGCGGGCTGGTATGCAGGTTACCCGTTGTCTGCATAGAAGCTCGACCAGTGGGTTTATGCACTCGCTTTATAGACTCGAACAAAGGGGACCCAACAGAATAAAGGACTCCACATACCTGACCCAGCTGTGCTGCTGTCCTCACATCCTTCTCCAGTCCGTCCAAAGCCTCGTTGTTATGTCTCAGGTATGCGCAGCTGTCTCTTCCACAACAGCACTCTGTTTCACGCTCCACCGGCGTCGTTGGTGTGATGGGAATGCTTAACAGCAGGTCGCAAAACCGGCCATCCGCATCCGGCGGATCACCAAGCTGTGGATCCGCGGCAACGGACATGATTTCGAGGGCTCAAGGTAGTGGATGAACGGTCGGAATACTCATTCTCGCGATGGTCATGAAGAAAGGTTGATGTTGATGGGGAGACGATGCAGCTCGCTCCCCTGAAGGCAGCCCAACGCGGTGGTTAAGGTTGAAAGTGGGCTGTTTGTCATTTAACGTGGTGCGGGAGAGCTTAGCTACCAGCCACCTCGGAAAAACAATGACGCATGTACTCCGTCGTGAAACCACACCCAATCATTTGTGCGCGACTCCGTGACCATTGAAACCGCCAAACAATAGAAGATAAGTTACAGTAAACAAGCTGGAAAATAGTCGTGAGCCGGGTATATGATGTTGTTGTAATTTAAATATTTTACTACTTCAGCTGAACACGAAATAGCCCTGTAATGAATTTAACATCGAAGACGTTAAGATTCATGACAAGCTCACCGTCCAGAAAACTTATCATAATGCATGCTCTCGAGCCATGAACCGCCTAAACAATGAATTGTTTGTCTAGCAACCCACGTTGCTGCGGCATGACTCTCCGGGAACCCATGTCTGAGAAGTAAATTACTAGATTGTATTGTGGAAGCTGCTGTGAAACACATGAACCACCACCGTTCCCGTCAAAGACCCCGTTGGTTGCCAGGAAGAAACCACGTTGTCAGTCACCATAAAAATGAGGGGTCGAAAATGTCGCAGACAACAAATACACTTCTGCATCCCGATATTTGTAAACAAGAAAATCCTGAAATATATAACAGTAGATATTCGCTGGTGGTCACCTAGCAATCAGCTCCATATGCAGCTCTAACCTGTCTAGAATAGAAGAGCTATACCATCAGACGAGTTAACTTAGATCACTCTTTACAGCCCGATCTGGTAATGGAGGTTACTGTATCATTTTACTAGTCCGCCAGAACTTTCTGCCCTATCCTAACGAGGTCCTCGTTAAGTAATGTGTCATTATCAAACCCTTCCACTACTTGTTGTAGCAACGCCGCCGCCAGGTTACTAACTTCCACTCTCGGCATATTAATCATATAGCAACCGACCGTTTGCAACACCCTTATTATCGGCCCTGTCTCCCCATCGACAGGGCCAGGCTTGACCACACACGCCTCCACAGCCCCCCCAGACTCCTTGGCATAGTTAAGGGCACGAGTTTCAACCTCGCCCTAGAGACTCTTAGTACCGCACAGCAATAGAAATTTGAAGCTTAGGAGAACCGAGAGTACGCAGTAAGAGGTAGTCACTCATCAACCAAGGGCTCCTGCTTGGGTCTCGCTCGGACTTAGCACCACTGGTATAGATAAATAGGAATGGCTTGCTTCTAGAGAGCTGAGATATAGTGTCTAGCCCTGTCATCGTATAGTCAAGACAGATCTCACGCGCCTTCTCCCGAGACACCGATCTAGCACGGATAATCACGGAAATAAGCCTGCTATAGGTTAGTTAGTAAGAAAATAGTAGCAGGGGTTAGCCGACTCATCTACAACTACTCTATGATTCTAAAGAAGACCATTTGTGTGAGGACGGTAGTAAACATGGTCCCGAACAAGGTACTTATAGATGCATAGGGAGGGGAGGTAGTTTACACATACCAGATGCAGGCATCGGCTTCAGATAGCTCTTGCTTAACCTTGTCTGCATAGTCCATGGAATCTTCGCAGGTAACGGTCTTGAGTTTCCTTGTATCCATGCCAGGACTGGCATTATCCGGCGTGGGAGTAGGGCGGCGAGCGAGGCCGACGACGGATGTAATAGCAGTATGAGAAAGCGCAAAGACAAGAAAGCTTCAGGGCTGGAAAAATTCAATTGATATTTGTGTAGTAACGGGTGATAACTATTCTTATAACAAGCTCCAAACTGTACGGGGCCTCGAAGAAAGAATCGCTCCGACTTATAAGCACGGCACCACCACCCACGCCGCATCGCCTCCTGTGAGGCAGAAGGTTGGTGACGACGTTGTTTAGTCGTCAACACTTGCTGCCTACTGCCTTCACACGATTTAATGATGAAGTGTCTCTTGAGGGGGGTCAACGCAGCTAAACCAATGAGTATACGCTGCCGGGGGGGGGGGGTTGTTTGCCTTGATGCTTTCATTTGGGTCTTGTTAGTTTCGACAAGTGTTCGGGGTTGGCAAGATATCCGCTCATTTGTTGAGCCCTAGGAAAGATGGACGAGGCACTGTGAAATATTCTCCGATTTCTATCCGCAAGAGCTAGAGATCAACTCGCAAAGCCATTGCCATATTACTTCCCATAACCGCTAAATCGCAACACACTCCTCACAAAGCAGGAACCTCAATCGTCAAAATATCCAGCCCCCCTTCCAACTCCGCCTTCTTCGGCAACCCCCCCCTCCTCATCAACTCACTCGCATGCGACACCATGGATCCCTCCCCATCGTCGCCACCGCCACCACCTCCTCACCCCTCGTATAAAACACCGCAAACTTATACTCCTCCAGCGACCCCTGCACCACGCTCCCATCAAACCCACTCCCCGTGTTCCCGCAGTACCGCAGCTGCGCCCCCAGCGCCGACCAGAAGATGGGGATGAACCGCTTGCGCGCCGCTGTTGGCGCGACGATGTTGCTGCGGCGGCGCGACCGGAGTTCTGCGCTACGTTCCAGTGCTCGATGCGGATTAGGGCGCCGTTGCTGCCGGGGCCGTAGTAGGGGTATGTCGCGATGTCGCCGACGGCGTACACGGCATTGAGGCCTTGGACGAGGAAGTTCTCGTCAACGGTTAGAGAGCCGTCTCTAGCCAGCTGCACAGATTTATTTCCCTTTAGGTAGCGCTCGAGGGGTACTTTCTCCATGCCTACCACAGAGACGGAGTTATCCTTGGATGTGGCTTTGGCAACTTCCATGCCAATGAAAGAGCTGCCGATGACAACGATCTTCTTGTTCTTCTCGCCAATGGCAGCCAGGATGTCTTTTACATTGTGGATGTTTCGCAGCACGAAGATATTTCCGAGCTCCTTGAACCCTTGTAGTGGGAGCTGACGAGGGGTTCCGCCAGTTGCAAGCACCAGCTTGGTGTAGGGATACACACTCGCAGATTTTGTGTGCACCTTCTTTGTGAGAAAATCAACCTCCGTCACCTCATCGGTGACAGTGGTGATTCCAGCCTCGTCAAACCACGGTTGGTCTCTCAGCCCAATCTTGACTGGGTCGGCAATTAAAGCCTTGGACAACTTCGTCCTGTCAATTGGCAGGTATCCCTCATTGCTGATCAAAGTGATGGAGCCCTTATAACCTTGTTCGCGAAGCGCCTCAACAGTTCCAATAGCCCCTGATCCGCCTCCGACGACAACGATGTTCTCAGGCTTCACAGCAGAGCACTTGATATTTGGCTTTCTCCTGCTCCCTTGATCTTATCCTGTGCACCTGTGACATAGACACCGCCATCCTTCTCAACGAGCCCGAAGACGGGGAGGTTATCAAGGGCCGGAGCGTTCTCAATTTCACCCGTCTTTGCGTTGAAGCAGGCTACCAATGCCGTTAGCGAACTGTCTTTATCGCAGTCGTAGTATTGGAATATCGATATAACTCACCTCCATGCCACGGGCACGTAATTCTACCATCTCCAGTCAAAACTCCCTTGACAAGAGGGGCACCTTAGTGTGTTAGCAGGAGCAAGTCGTAAACAAAGCACCCAACTCACCATAATGAGTGCATTTAGCACCGACAGCAGTAGTCTTCCCCGCAACATTCAGCAACAGGACCTTCCCCTCCTCGACCCCATCTACCTCCACCTCCCTCTTCTCTCCCGGCTTCACGCCGAGGCGTAACCGTCCGACATCTGCATGCACGCCCGCTGCTGCCTAGCTTGTCCCATGGCATCGTGCATGCGCCATGCTGCGTCTTGGTGCCTTGCTTTGGTGTGTGTGATCTGGGCAGGTCTGCGGGATGGGGCCGGGAACGGGAGGAAGTCGGATAAGGCAGGGCGAGGGGAAAGGGAGTGGAGGGTCCTATAGTAAGGGAAATATGTCGGAGGAATGCAGACAAGGGCGATGGGAGAGGTGTCATCAGTCACTGCAAAAGGAGAGATGTCGGTGAAACCGTAAAGTATATTTACAAAGCCTCACTATCATACACCCCCCATAGTATCCCACAAGCAAGCACGCCCCAGCCGCACTCCACCTCGGCGTCCCCTCTACTTCCTCGCCTCCTTCCTCTCCGCAGCCCTCCTCTTCGACCTAACCTCCGCCCTCCTCCTCTCCCCCCCATCAATCTTCCTGCCCCTCCTAATCTCCCACAACCCCTCCGACGCCTTAATCTGCGCCCCCCCCTTAATCGGCAACACATGCTTCCCCACCACCCTCTGCGCCCCCCTAACCCTCACCCCCTTAATCTCCTCCTCCCCATTAACAACCACCCTCTTCATCCCCGCCGTCCTCGTCGCCGTCCCTACTGCTGGTCCCCCCCCAACCTCCACAACCATCAACCTCGCAACCCCCTCCTCCACCACCCTCGCATCACCCCCCGGCCCATACTCCCCCCTCCGAAATCTGTCTCTCCACGCTAACAGATATCTGCGCGCGCGCGCGGGCTCGACGCCTAGGTCACGCAGCTGGGGAGAGGTGAGGCGGAATAGCGATTCCCAGGTCGGGATCTTCGACGCGTGTTGGGAGAGGTTGCGTCCGATTAGGGAGAGGAAGGTCGGCGCGTCGGGGACGAATGGGGTTGGTGCCGGGATTGGCTGGGGCGGGATGCGGGCGTGGAGGGCGCGAGTGAGGGTTGGTGTTGTGGCGAGGAGGGAGGTGGTTGCGCGGTGGGCGGGTCGCGCGAACATTTTGTGTTTGGTTGTCGGTGTGGCCGTAGACTTCTGGGAAAAGGGGTTAGTTGGGGAATTGGCGTGTGTGAGGGGGGAGAGAGGGACGCACTGTCTGTGGTTGTGGGTGCTGCGATTGAGCTCTGGAGGTGTTGTCGTCGTTGATGGTCCGAAAAGTTTAAGCTTGTAACTTACTGTTTTTGGTCGCTTAATTACATAAGCTGGCACGGACCTGAGGGTGCGGAAAAACTGAGTGTCGTGGTTGTCAGCCTTGTGTATCCGGGAGGAGCCTAGCGAATGGGAGACGATGAGGCGAAAAGTTGGGGCGAGTTCAACGTTCATGTTCGCGGTTTGATGACCTTATCTTGATGTTATTGTGTTGACTTGAAAGCATGCATGTTATGTACGCCTGAAAGAACGACAGTTATAGCAACAACCCACACAGAGCCGATATGGCGTTGTCTCCGCTGATTTTAGGAGCGCCCGGCGCAGACCAAGGCATGAGTCCAGCTGGGTCAAGATCAAACGTCTTCGCAGTCGCGAAGGCCCAGAACAGCTCAGGAAATGCGTCACCAATTCCCGAAGCTGCGCCAGATCTGGCCGAGCAGTTAAACATGGAAGAGAAGGCGAAATACATCAAAGGTCCCGCCATCCCCTCCCCAACCAGCCTTCCAGACAACAGATAACCCCCCACCAGGCAAGAAACTCGGAGAAGGAACCTACGCAAACGACTACCGAGGCACCCTCCGCAGCGACCCCACGCACTTCGTCGCGATCAAGAAGATCAAAATCCAAGCCGAGTACACCGAAGGACTCGCCCCCGACGCCGTGCGCGAACTCAAGCACCTGCAGGAGCTCTCCCATCCCAACATCATAACCCTCCACTCCGTATTCTCCTGACGCGACCAGAACTTAAACCTTGTCCTCGAATTCCTCCCCCTCGGCGACCTCGAGATGCTCATTAAAGACGTCGATGGCGTGCGATATGGTGCAGCAGATATCAAGGCCTGGATGGGCATGCCCGTCGCGCTGTGTGGTTCTGCCACGCCGATGCGGTGCTGCATCGTGATATCAAGCCTAATAACTTGCTCATTGCCGCTGATGGGATGATCAAGCTTGCAGATTTTGGTCTTGCGCGCGCATTCGCGGACCCTTATAAGCAAACTACCAGCAACGTCATCACGCCCGAGCTGCTCTTCGGCGCGCGTCACTACTCCGGCGCCGTCGATATATGGGCTGTCGGGCTGGTATTCGCGGAGTTGCTGATCCGCACGCCCTACCTAGCTGGTGACACGGAGGTGCGGACGCCAACAGAGGAAGTATGGCCAGGCGTCAGCAAACTGCCCGAGTACACCGTCCCCGAGCCGCCCAACCCGGTTAGGGGCCGCGAGACCTACCTCGGGGCCTTCGGGACGGCGGGACAGGAGGGCGTGGATCTCCTGATGGCGATGTTGGTGCTGGATTTGCGGGCGCGGATTACGGCGCAGGCGGTGCTTGAGCATCCATGGTGGAGCTGGGAGGGGACCGGGGGTGGTGGGGAGTGAGGATCGGCCGGCGGTGGCGAGGAAGTTGGATTTTGGAGCGATGGGGTGGGTTGGGCTGGGAAAAGGGCGTTTGGGTTTGGTGGGGAGTTTATGTGGTTTAGAGGTAGCGAGACAATTTTGAAAAAGACAGAATATGAGATGATTGATTACGAAGACTGAATGATGAGGAGCTTATTGTGTATAAGTGGTAGAGTTCGTGCCCAAGGCCAGCACGGCCAACACTGATATGATCTACTATATTTTCCAGACACAGCTGAAGGTAATCGACTTTCGGTTCATTTATCATGAACTTAGCCTTTGGCACATGGACAGACTGACCACCCTCTATAGGGGACGGATTGTGTATCGGAGTCGGAGTCGGAGTCGGTGGCGGTGCGAGACGGACGGTGGGGGCCAGGTAGCGGTAGGTGGTGACAGCGATAAAGTAGTGACAGGGAGAAGGAGACGCCTTCACTTATTGAATCGATTGTATTTCCACTAAAGGATGGTGAATGAAACGAGCAAACGAAGTCGTTCATAGAATATATAACCATGGTCTTTTCGTCCTGTGTTTTCCAGAAGTGGATCACTTCTTTTTGGCACATTCTTCTTCCCACAGGTTTCCATGCTTCCTCCGTGATTCCTACCATCTCAACCGCCTTGACTAGTGCTCTCCCCATCCCAGACCTCGCCATCGGTCCACATCCCAGCGCTACGTGAACGACATGGAGAACGACATGGAGAACGACATGGAGAACGACATGGAGAACGACATGGAGAACGACATGAAGAACGACATGGAGAACGACATGGAGAACGACATGGAGATACCGATCATAATGAATAAGCACCCCTTTTCCCACCGACTACCGCAAATCTACAGGGTATATTTGGGAGAAGAAGCACTATGATGCGTATTAGAGCGACACGCTCGAGTTAGAGAGACGATTCCAGCACCACGGCTGCCTATCGGTATTCTCCCCCTCACTGAGTCTTGCGCGAGAGATTTGCCCCATAACCAAGTGACCCAACAGACGGATCGACATCGTACATAACATACTAACGACGCTCTTAACGACTGTAGCTGGAGTCGTCTCCATTCGTCTGTCCATCCAGGGGGTATGCGGCAAACCTCGAAGCTGGAGGACCGCTTCCACCAACTCGGTCCTCCCCCTGCGTGCTGCTTCAAGCAGCACATCGCTAATTATCGCGACTTGGCTCGTCCCGTGCACTGGCGCGATGGCCCGTGGTTCTGCGTACTCCGGGACGGCGAGATGGATAGTACGGTGGTGGACGTGTCTTGGTTCCTCTGCCACGTCGCCGCGAGGTTCTTAATCTTGAATTCCGTCGCCATAGCTCTAGTCTGTGCCGTAAATGCGAAAAGTGACTTCCTCGATGCTCTCGGAGCCTGTCGAACAATATGTTGCAGACTACTGTTATATAGAAGCTTTGAGGAGATCATCTACTCATGGGATTTGTAATTATGTTCGTCTGTATGGCGCGGGGAGGCGATGTTGATTGGGAGGTGGGGGAGGGGGGGGAGGTGGGGGAGGTGGGGGAGGTATGGTCGTGGTCATGGACTATTGGACGCTGTTTATTGGCTGTGGGGTAACATGTCGTCATACTCTAGTTATCCGTGTCTTGGCACGGGCAGTCTATAGGAGTTGATCATCAACATCAAACACATCAAGGTCCCAATGGCTTTCGCACTGGTGAAACTGGATGTGATATATAAACAATTATAATTCACTTGGCGACTTTAACTCTAGGCCCGTGGTGGACCTGCAGCTCGGGTAGCTGTGTTCCGCTCAAATACCCATACACTTCTTTCTCATTAGTGGAAAGGTCGGTCATGGTCGGAGAGGCTATCACATCCAACGAGATCGCCAAAGAAGCTCAGCCTCCTCACAACGTCACCCAAGCAATTCATCAGCAGAACAAATGGCCAGAAGCCTAGACAACAGTGAAGCAAAATCGTAGTAAGAAGCGGGTGTCTTAGTCCCGTGTCGTATGTTCATTTGACTCGTACAAAGACTTTAAAGTGTGTATCCTCATCTACACCATACATCAACCCCCCCCCACCCACCCAGTTCCAGAAGAACGCACTCAAACACCCACTTTCCAGCGCTCCTCCATGAAATGCCCAAGTCCCAGGTCCGCCCCAAATTCCCACCCAACCACCACCCATTATCAACAAAAATCGTCAAGAGCCCCGTCGCAAAGCTCCGATAGTAGAGCTTTTTGCATGAAGCTCTCATTTCCGCCCACACACCATCCCTCTATCCCATATCCGCCGCATCCCGTGGCTCTTCCATCTCGCGAAGAAAAAGAGAAAAACATCAGGGTATGTCAAAACACAAAACACTGTCCCGCCCGAGGCAAGCAGAAGCCCGCAAATTCGTAGGGGCCAATTCGCAAAGCTATGCACGCCACACAATGCTGAACACACACGCGCGCAGGAAGTAGAACAGACAACCCCATCGTTAAACCCCATCCGGTCCCCGTCATCCCCCTCATCATATGTATATATCTGCCTCCGATAATATTGTTCGTAAACGTCGTCCATCTCTATTCATCCTCTCCTGTTCATCGCTGCTCCGGCTCCTGAGACTGCCAGGTCTTGCCTCCCGCTTGTGCTCCGTGTTGCGACTCTCGGTAGCCCACTTGTAGTTTGGGCTGCTGGGCCAATGCTTGTGCGTTTGCTCGCGGTCGAGATTGTAGGGTTGCTTAGGTTATGCACATTGGACAATCTCCTTGGGGCTGGGGGCTTATTTGGACTAGGATCGCGAGTCCTTGTGCCACCGTTGCGGAGTGCAGTCACCGGAGGCTCCGGGAGAGGTCGTTGGCTACTCTGGGAGGTTGTCGTAGTATTGTATCGCTTGACTGGTGATTCATTTCTGCTGCTGCCTCCAAGGGGTCGTGGTGCAGACAGCGATGTCTTTGGTCCCAAGATATATTCGTGCAGAACGGCTTGGTCTGGAGTCATTCGTCTAGCTGGATCCCATCTCAAGCACTTCGAAAGGAAATCCAGGAACACCTCGTCGTCACACTTCAGGACTTGTTGCAAGGTCTTCGACGAAGGCTTCCGGCGACGACCCTTCGATGACACAATGAGTCGTGGCTTGCCCATAGAGTCGAAGAAGAGCTTCTTTCTTGTGCTCTTCTCAATAAGGTGCTTCTCTGGTGGTCCAAACACTTCCATAACACAGGCCAACTGCTCCTGCTCATTTTCGCCAGGGAAAATCGGATAGCCGGTATAAAGCTCAGCCAAGATACAGCCAACACTCCACATGTCAATTGCAATTCCGTAACTCATACCGAGGATAACCTCTGGCGATCGGTAGAATCGAGATTGAATGTATGTATACACCTTTTCGTTTTCAAAGCAACTGGAACCGAAATCGATGACCTTGATCTCCGAGTGCATCGGGTGAGCAAGCAGGATATTTTCTGGCTTGAGATCACAGTGGATAACTTTGTGTATCTTAAGAAGAAGCAGACTGCCCAGGAGCTGTTTGGTGAAGCGCCGAATGAGCTTCAAAGAGAACCCCTTGAAGCCATTATATTTAATGAACTCGTAGAGGTTCATATCAAGAAGTTCAGTAGAGAGGCAAAGATGGCCACGGAAGTAGAAACTTTGCGTGAAGTTTACCATGCTATGTCTGTTTGTCGGATCCTATTGGCGCTGTTAGTAACAGTGTTTGGTAAATATGAAACCATGCTTACCCATTCGCGCAGCTTCTGCAAGATGTTGACTTCCACAAGTGCCTGCTGATGAAACCTCTTCTTATTCCGAATAATCTTGATAGCAACCAAGCCGCCAGTTTTGTGGTCGATACATCGAACAACTTGACCGAAACTACCCTTTCCGAGGATGTCGATGATCTCATACCTAAATGCGAGATGGTCGCCCTTTACAATGCTGTAGTCTCCTCGTTCATCGTCGTAGCCAAAGTTGGTATTGTCAGATTGAACTTTCCCAACATGCTTAGCCGCACTTTGCGTGCCGCAGAAGTAAACGTCCTTGAAGTCAACAATCTCACCGCGCTCATAAATGTTGAGATGTGCCATTTGCACTGCTTGTTGCGGGGATACCCTCTCCTTGGGCGTAGCACGTTTTCGGAGGGCATCGAGTACTTTCGCAGCTTGCTCGGTCTCTTTTCGCCTTGAAGCCATTTTCTTCATCTCCTCTTCTGCTACCAAGTCGTCTTTGTCGAGCTTAGAAGCGTAAGGATTCACTGGCCTCAAAGCACTCGAGGAAGCCTTGGGTCCGATGATTCTCTGGCCATGGGCAATCATAGAAGCTGAGGATCGCTGTGGGTTGAGCTTGGGTTGCAGAGGCTTGGTATCTGTAGTATCCTCTTTCTTCGGACCACGGGGGGTAATACCCCAGTTGTTGCCTTGTGTGGGTTCTTGAGCAACGGGTAGCGTGAGACTCGAAATGGAGCTTTTCCGTCTTTTGGATTCCAGATACATTGGTTTCACAGTAGGGCTTGGGCTTGACGTTCCGGCCTGGCTGTTAACGTTCTGCATACTCACCGACGCTGGAAGTCTTGGGGGTGGCATGTCATTATGCTTTGCATCGTGCTTTGGAGGTTGAGGAGCATATTCCGAGCTCTTGTCGTTAGCCGCCCTCTCGTTCGCTGCATGAGACAAGCTAATGCTGCTCTTAGAGACGGTACGTCTCCAGCCAAGGCTGAGCTTTCTCCGAAGCGATGACGCCGACGACGGTACCTGGGCTTCATCTTGGCTTGACTGATCGTAAGTTGGGACATCATCAGCCTTGGGTGGCAGGGCAGTATTCAGAGCCCGAGGCCCATTTAGTTTACTGAGCCTCTGTTCGCCAGAAAAGTCCGTCGGGAAGTCACCACTTGTTTGTGGCCTTGGCAAAAAGTTAAACTCCCTACTGTTCTTTGGTAGAGACGATGATATGAATGGTGACACAGCGTTCTGTCGTGCCGGGTTTGGTGGCGCGGGTAGCGGCTTTGTGGGGCTCGTAGATCCATTGTCTTGCCTTGAATGCTGGATCGATGTGCTGCTTCGCAACTGATCTGTGATATGGCCCGACATATCATCACGATTGTGTGAAAAGAATGTAGATTTCGATGCTGTCATTGGCGTTGTTGGAGTCTTCGTATTCGCCCGTTTTGGTGGTGGTGTCACGGTTCCGTTGGAATTCGAGGCTGCATCGTTGCGGAATGCAGCAATTTTTGCTGCAGTTGGAGTACTTAGAGGAAGTAAGTTAAGTGGGGGAAGTCGCAATGGCTGCAGGTGTTTTTTCTTTGGGGGGCCACGCTTCCCATGTTGTTCAGCATCTGACCCAGCACCCATGCCGTTTTGTATTCTAGAGTTGGAGCTTGAGTCCACATTTCTGGGATCTCTTCCTGATGATGTGCCGGATAGCTCATTGGTAGAGCTGCTGTTCCGGCTGTTTATACTGCTCGAATCAAATGGAAGGCTTGATTTTCGAGCGGCAAAAAGTGGAGGTTCGGCGGGTGATTCTTTTGGGGATTCATATGCCTTTGGAATTGCCGGGACAGGTGGCACTTCCTCCTCTTCATTCCCAGCAGAGCTATGGACATTCCTTGACTTCGGAGTAGGTAGTCTAGACGTCGATGGCACGGGAAGCAAGCGAGGCTGGGGCTGTAGCGATCCAGTTGACGATCTCGGCGAAAACCGACCATTGGATCCAGTAGAGACTCCATACGTTTTGCGGCTAAAGTCCGGGGTGTTGCGCAAAGACGAAGGGGTAGTGCTCATGCGTGGAAGAAGCGATGGCGAACGTGACGATCCTCTTAGATGGGAAGGATCCTGCTGGTTCACAGGCGGAGTATTTGGCAAAGGTGGAGCACCATGCATGGTAGACATCCGCTTCATTCGTCTCGTATCCGTAGGACTGATGGTCCTTGCGCCTAATCCAGATGCATGTGAATTGGATGAAGGCATTTGCGACATACGCCTTGCTGCTGATGATGGAGTCGACGTGTTACGCCCGTTATGTCGGCCAGGTAACTTTCCAGCATATGATAAAGATCTAGAATGATCAGGAGTGCCCCTTGGCGTCGACAATGATTCTTGGTTGTGACGTGAGGGAGGTTGAAGAGACTTTGTTTTCGATGCGCGTGGTGTTGTTAGATGTGAAGTGTCGCCTTGAAACTTTCCAGAATCCGAAATCCTACTGCCGTTTGTGGCATCTGACAAGCTTTGATTTGATGTTGACGCTGTAATACTGGACGCTAAACTTGGTCTGCGTCTGTGAGATGTTTTGAAAGAAGTGTCGGATTCAGTGCCGCCAAAATCGATAGATTTACGTTGTCCTTTGCCTCCGTTATTTGCTGATATTGGCGGGTACTGGCTCTGTCTGCGTGTGCGAATAGCAAGCGGGGCTGTGGGCGGATCCATGCTCCCAGGTATAGCAGACGATGTAGAGGAAACACTGCTTTGTCGGTTTGAGGTACTCTGCCTCCTTAAAAGCGAGCCACTCCGAACTGGCCTGGAAATAGGCGCCCCACGGCCGGCTAAACCTTTCGCCTCGACCGCTTCGCGGGTCCTTACACCACCGGTAGGTCTGTCGGAAATCATGCTGCTGGACAGGCTAGGTTGTCTTGTTGTGTCCGGGAAAGGCTCGAGTCTCTGGGATGCCGATGATATGCTCATGTGCAGATCGTCGAAACTTGGGGAGGGCAGAAAGTCCAGAGGTTCGCCCGAGGCTTGTTCTGAGGGCAAGGGTATTTTATTCCAAACGGGCGGTGGTTCTCGGCCAATAGGTAGACGTGGTCGAGGAGCAGAAGCAACGGGGTCGTGGTTCTCCTTTGAGCTGTAGATTGTAAGCAATTGGTGGCGTGTTTAAGGGATGCGGCAGCACTTACGATTTTTGAGAGGGCAGACCCGCTGGTCTTGGGCCAGACGGTGCGATCTGGTCTCTGATCATAGGATCAATACAGGCCGCTCAGGACCTCAAAGGAGTGACGAGTTGGGCTGAAGAGCGAGTGCAGGCGCTCGATCTCAGTCCGTTGGAGGAGCTGAGCAGAGAGGATGGCTATCGCATTTCCGACGGGTCTATAAGGTCGACGGGGTCTGAGTAAGTCGCCAGATCGATCTGGCTCAACGCAGGCTGCGACGAAGCGAACCAAGTGTGAATGGACGTGGGCGCTGAAATTGAAGTTGAAGGATGACCGAGCAACGCACTGAGAAGGTGGTGCTGCTCTGTCGAACGGCGATAGTTCCGGCAGGAGGGGGCTATGAGCTGGGTGCGGAAGGGCAAAGTAGCTTTTGTTGCTTCTCTCCTTCTATCTATCTCTCCCTCTCCCTTGGAGTACGAGGATGACGTTATGAGTGAGTTGAAGCTGAGTTCACGAATTTGGTTTCAAAACAAAAGTTACAGGGGGAACCAAAGGGTCGGGCAACGGTTCAACCGTAGCGAGAATCTCTAATGGCTATAGCGTTCGTGCTGCATCATTTCTACGTACCGTATTAATGTACCGCCGACGGACCGATTCGGAGTATCGTTAAGCCTACTCCGTATAGAAAGGCAAATTGGGAATTTCCTGATCAACGGCGGATACAAGGGGGAGGAGTAAATGATCAGGAAAGCGTACAAAGCAATAATTAAAGGCAGCTGAGTTTTGACATCCCCGAAGCCTTGATATTACTCGTCGAGAGGCTTCCCGATATATTAACGCGGGGCTATATAGAGCAAAGGCACACACATGCATCACAAGGCGTGAATTGTTTTACATGTCCTTTGTTTACGGGGTAACCAGTGCTGTATTATGCTGAGTGTCAGATATGGATGGGAACGCACTGAAGAGCGGACGCGGTGGAGATATAGCTGACGGTGGAGATATAGCTGACGGTGGAGATATAGCTGACGGTGGAGATATAGCTGACGGTGGAGATATAGCTGACGGTGGAGATATAGCTGACGGTGGAGATATAGCTGACGCTGTGAGGATATTGTTGCTCATGCTTCGCTTTTCCCTACGGTGTACTTGCAGGTGTACTTGCAGTAGTAAATAAAATAGGGCAGAATAAAGCACTTTTGTCGGATTTACTCATGGATTTCCAACATATTACTCCATAAAAAGAAAGACCTGAGTCGCCTCATCTAAAGAAAGATGATGGGTTCTTGACGCAATAATAAAATAATAAGGGGTTCCGCTGTATGTACGTAGGTCCAGACATCAAGGATGTGACAGCGCCCTTACCGGATCCAGCCTAGCCTAGGGTTTATCGGTGTTCAATCTGTCTTACACCCATCTCACGCCGACATGCCGACACCACCCACTGGCCGACTGGCACATGCCGAGGACCATCCTCAGTCCTCATACCCAACCCCCTCCACCTCCCACGGCGGAATTCCACGAAAAACACTGTGACAATCGCGACAGGTCGATGGAGCGCCGTGGGATTTATCGAATAGTTGAAACAATCGAAGGGTTTACGATAATAGTCGGCTTGAGAGCGTGCACAGCTTGTAGCATGGTCTGAATTGCAGATGTCCACCCCCGCAATACACGATACAGACAATACCTGCGATACGTTAGACGTCATCACTGCCTTCCATCCCAGAACACAGCGACCCCGCGCGCCAGAACGAACGGGCTCAGCCTAACGAGGAAGCCGCAGACGCCTCTACTAGCCCTCTTCGTTTCGCGCCAGACTAACGTCGACCACGTTTGCAGCCATGGACGAGTATACCAACGGCGCATTCGCGAACAGAGACGGACGCGTTCCACTTATACGAGTCGACAGCCCGAGCTCCCAATCCGAAGCTAGTCACGACCAGCCAGGGAACGAGAATAAAGGAAAGAACTACTCGATTCGATGGAAGCTTGGAGACAAAGCTCGCAAGATGGTTGGGCGATCACCGGATAACAAGGGCGACAATGGGGAAAAGGCAGGAAAAGGCGATAAGGGCCCGAGTATGCAAGACCGCCTATTAGAGAAGTACGACACTGTCTCGCCCTACTTTGTTTGTACGACGCGTATGCTAATACTATGAAGGCTGATGCAGCAGGTCATACCGGTGGAGGACCAGCCCAGAAACCAGGAAGGCTCTCCATATTCAAATCGCATCGAACCACCTGCCTTCAGCCTCCCAACCATGTCCGCAAACTTCCGCCGCTTCAACTCCCGCATCGGGGTCGTCTTTGCCTTCCAAGCACGTGTGGTCCGCCTCCTCAGCTGGCGGAAATATCCACACACCATCTCCCTCCTCGCAGTCTACACTTTCGTCTGTCTAGACCCCCATCTCCTCACCGTGCTCCCACTCGCCGGCCTACTCCTCGGAGTCTTCATCCCGTCCTTCATCGCACGACACCCCGCCCCCCCAGTCACCCTCTCCACATCCTTCGAATACTCCCCCCGCGGCCCTGCCCTCGCACCAGCACCAACCGTCAAGCCCGTCAAAGAGCTCTCCAAAGACTTCTTCCGCAACATGGGCGACCTGCAGAACTCCATGGAAGACTTCAGCCAGATCCACGACCAGATCCTCACCAAGCTCGCTCCACCCATGAACTTCAGCAACGAGCCCCTCTCCTCCACCGTTTTCCTCTTCCTCTTCATGTCCACAGCCGTCATGTTCATCGCCTCCCACCTCGTCCCATGGCGCTTCTGCTTCCTCCTCGGCGGCTGGTTTGTCATATTCTCCGGCCACCCCGCCGTAGCTAAAATACTTGCAAGCACCCACGACCAGCACGTTGCGCCGCGCGAATCGGAGGCGAAATCCTGGCTCAACACCTGGGTCGCTAAGGACATCATGCTAGACATGGAGCCCGAGACACGGGAAGTCGAAGTCTTCGAACTACAGAAGATTGATAACAGGGGTGAATGGGAACCTTGGCTCTACTCAGCGAGTCCGTACGACCCACTAGCCGCGCCGCGGATCGCGAACGAAAGGCCGCGGGGGACGCAGTTCTTCGAAATGGTGGCGCCGCCGCGGGACTGGGAGTGGAGCGAGAAGAAGTGGAAGTTGGATCTGTGGAGCAGGGAGTGGGTAGAGGAGCGCATCATTACGGGGGTGGAGGTCGAGACGGAGGGCGAGAGGTGGGTGTATGATATTCACTATGAGGGTTCGAATCCGGAGCCGGGGCTGCGCGAGGCGACGGGGAAGGTGAGCCAGAAGCCGAAGCCGACGTGGGAGGAGGGCGTTGAGGGTGAGGGGAAGAAGGGGCAGTGGAGGAGGAGGAGGTGGGTGAGGTTGGTGAAGAGGGTTGTGGTGACAAAATCTCCGGGGGAGGGCTGAGATGATGATGATGATGATATTTATTTACGTCCAGTGGGACGCGGGTGTAACCCGTGGCCCTAAGACCTCCCGAAGGGTATAGGGACGTGCTAAGCTATGGGTTTATGTATAGAGTATGACCTTTAGAGAGCAGTTCTTGCGTGTTTACGTGGCTGTAAGGCCCGTTAACTAAGCGCCTTCCCTGCTAGTTGGGATGGTGTCAGGTTTGCTAGTAGAGGGCGGTGCCTTAGGGGTTCTCCGGAAAGGGGTTGTATGCGGGACTAGTTAGTCTAATGTTATAAGCTACTACGAGTGTGGTCTGTAGTGTGCCCTACGGTCTTGCTACGGAGTTGCAGCTCTATAGCTTAGTAGCAGGTGGTAACATAGTAGAAAAAATAGAAATGAGTGTCTTTAAACAAAGTATAGTGTTGTTAAAGGGAATGTAGGGGTGTTTGACCTAGACCCTAACTGCTAGTTTGCGAAAATATAGAGTAGATATCCTCTAGGACTATGCCGCGTTAACGTAGAGCCCCTATAGGGCTAGCGGAAGCTATGGCTTTCTTAGGCTATATAGGGGTAAGTTGTGCTAGGCTAGCCTAGTAGGTATAGATTTTTGTGTAGAACTCTATGACCTAGAGTACTAGTTTAGCCATTAGGCATAAAAGGTATTTAAGGCCTATAGCACTATTGTCTAGTATGTCATACTGACATTCGTTGCACTCAGTTTGCTATCAAACTCAAGAGCAAACTTAGAAATCTCCTCCTCAAACCTACAAGTTACCATACATATCTTGGCTTATCACACCAACAACAAGAGCAATACTACTCAACGATTGCTGCAAACTCCTCTACTACATCTGTTTATGCTACATACATCACGGCATATCATTTGGACATCATTGAACAAGTTATTAAGAAAATCTCCTCCTTAAGGGGGTGGGCCAATACTACCACATGGCATATCTCTACCACCTAGAGGCCTAGTAACATGAACGATAGCTCTAGAAGCTTCTACAACCCTCTATGATTCATTACACGTCATCGCTCCTTAGTTACCCACAAGATTGGTTAAGTTATGATATAATTTATCTATAGGTACTCTGACCTTGGACCTCCTTTTCACTTCCTATAGGCTAGGAACCCAAGAGATGGTTCTATGGGATTCTCTTACATTCGCTACATGATTAGCAAGCTAGTTGTGGGTCGCACTTGATTTCTAATACATTTACCAAGCCTGGTTAGTCATGGAAAGTCATGGAAATGAGAGAACTACACTCCTTTGGCATAAATAGGATTGCCCTTTCCTTAAGAAAGGGCAAGCAGACAATACAGTAAATCGACTATCACATACTTCCATGTCTTTTCCAAGCTTCCAAGCATTCATCTTGTTACTCCTTGTTTCTGAAAAGTCAGTGAGGTGTTAACCTCTGACTTACCCCTGAGTTCCCAGACTCAACATTTGTTGCAACTTGTCTGAACCACTTCACTACATCACACACCTGATTGCTGCGTTGTGGAATAGTCTAAGCTACGACCCTTTGGCTCTGTTTTCTAAGACAGTGTGTTGCCTTAGTAAATTCATCCCTTCCTTGGGTGGCTAGATTCTCACATCTGGTGCACCCACCATTACACAGCTGTGATCTGCGATTGTAACAGCTTAGGACTAGGATTAGAACTAGGATCAGGATGACTGCATTTAGGACTGGTGACAGTGCTAGGAAGAGGAGGATATACCTAGTGTTTTGGATTAGGAGGCGTTGTTCTCTATAAGAGGAGAGGGAGGAGGAAGAGAGGTAGCGTTGCTACTGCCCTTGCTACTGTCGTTGTCGTTGTTGTCATTGTCATTGTCATTGTCATTGTTGTCGTTGTTAGAGAGAGTGATTACTCTCTAGCGCTTTAGGGAGGGGGTGACAATATGCTACTCCTTCTTACACTATGTGTAACAGGTTGCCAACCATTACAGTGCATTGTATATATAGTGTGTTATGCGTATTCCACTAAGCTAGAATACTATAGTCTTTTTGGCTTAGTAGGATGTAGCGCGAGAGTAACTATACATCGTTACACTATGTATAGGTCAAATCCTAGCGAAGGGAAAGGGGTCCTCTATGTCTGTGTTTACGAGCCCTTAAGCTTTCTTCCATGACCAAAGGACTTTAGCATCATCATTAATGACTTTGATCTAGTTGTTAATAACAGTGTTATACTCTAGGGAGCTCTCCTCCTACCTACTTCCTACTGCTACTAGCTCATCTTTCTGTGTTGCTGTAAGAGATAGACTGTTGCTAATATTAACGTTGTTAACAACATCAATACGGAGGTCGAGTTCAAAAGTCATGTCCTACGCTAAAAAACGCCACGTTGCATTAATACAATTATTCACTCTCGGCCCTCCTTATACTCGTTCCCACCTTCAAGCTCAATAACTATCTTGATATGGCGGGGTATTCTCTCAATCCACGCCTGGATTTGCGCTTGTGGGACGTCCTCCCAACAGCTCTCCCATGACTGTACCCCTTGCGGCCGGCTTTTTGGTGCCCCTTTTCGTGTTGTTCTTCTCTTCATCCACGGCCAACATGGTTCAATCATGTTTAAGTCAGGAGAGTTAGCACACCAGAATAGTCGATTAATATCGTGAATTGAGAATAGCCGCTCCTGGATATAGTGACTATGTGACGGTGTATTGTCTTCTTGCACGACAGTCTGTGGCCGGTCTTTTCTGCACTCTTCTGCGAATGGGAATACCTTTGGAAGGAGAATCTTCTGTTGGTAGTGATACCAGTCTATCCCGCCTCCTTTCCCTCGAGTTAATTTTCCGTTTTTTTGATTCCATCTCCACTATGGTTTTGGTCCTGGTAAATTCTGTAGTCGCATCCGTTGAATCCCATTTGTAATTTCCCATTGCTCACGCATAATTGGCTCTAATTCCTTATTCATCTCTTGAACTTTTAATTCTGCTTCTTCTCTTTCTCGTTTGGTTTCTGGTATCCAACAGTGGCATGGCCCCTTCTTGTCATATGAGAAACATGCCCAAAACATGAACTCAGAGTATCCCTTCCACCATTCTCGAATGCAAGATCGTAAAAATGCCTCTTCAACTTTCTGCCAAATCCAATATCCTCCCCGTCTATGGTTTAAAACAACAGAAGTTTCATCTGACCATATGACATTTTTCCAATCCTCAAGTGTCCAATCTTTGTGGTCAAGGCACCACTTTAGCCATTGTTCTCTCATTCTCTTCATCAATCCAGGCTTCCTCGTCGGTTTCGTTTTCCGATATCCTGCTGTTTTCAAGATTCGCCATATGGTAGTTGAAAAAATATCGAAACTGTTGATACTAAGTTCCCCTGCAATATCAGCGCAAGTTTTCTCACGGCCATATCTATCTCTGCATACTTTCGAAACAGCCTGATTGACTGTTTCCTCTGTCTGTTTTCGAGGGCGTCCAGAGCGAGGGGCGTCTTCTAGCCATTCATCTTGGAGAGAGAATGGCATGTGGTTTGGGTCGAAACCACGCTCAATTGCCCGAGTGTAAATCCGGTTTATCTGTCGAGCAGATACTCCTGTCTTCTCAGCTACTTCAGCTGTTGTCTTCCCTCCGATAGGGGATTTTAAGGTCACGATAAGAGCCCGAGTTGAGAGACTTGTATTTGGCGCCATGATTTGAACGTTCACGTTTACGAGTCACAAAATGAGGGGTTCATAAGATTACCATTTTATGCAAGGCTTGGCACTACTAGCTCGGACACGACTTCTGAACTCGACCTCCGTATCAGCATATAGGTTCCTAAGTGGGCTTAGAGAGGGTGGAAGGAAGTCACTAGGGCTAGTTACTTAGCCCCAATTCACATTATTTGTAGCCATAGTTAGTATATAGAGAGTATAACTATAGATAATATATATATTATCTTACGTCGTTAGAGTAGAGCCTCTGCTAAGGCTGGCTCTACTTTTTTACACTAATCTACATGTAGGCATGTCTAGGTATGACCTTACAGAGCATAATTATGCTACGTGAGGACATACTTACATATGCTTGGCAGCAAGGTGGCGCCCGCTGGCATGGGGGTATTACAGGAGCTAGAGGGGGTTGTGCAGATCTTACTGCTAACGGTATGTAATCATGTTATGTTCTCCCAGCTGAAACCCTCTAATAGAGGATTTCCATAATTATTTTAACAATCATACGACGCGAAAGAGAATAACACGAGGACACGAAGAGCAACGTAACATTCCTCAATTAATAGGGGCTTCTAATTGGACTACTCTACTACGTACAGGGGTAGCGACGATCATCACCCTACACGAGTACGTCGCCTACCCCAAAATGGCATAAATCGAGGCTGAGCAATGGAATACAACAAAGAGTCATACTCGAGTCGAGGTAAAGAGATGGGATCATGGCACTTATACTGGCCATTTTCGGGGGCAGGTGGCTTTGTCCCAATATCTCTTTCGTTATTCACATATTATATTTGAGGCCAAGCGGGTAAAGAAAGTGATTCTTGAAGCACATATTGCTACATTTTAAAATCGTTTGTGGCGCAGATACTGAAAATCAAATGCCTATATTTAGCGACGAGGAGCTCGTGGAGCTCAGTCTCCTCCGCGCCAACGAGATTGATGAGCTCGTTAAACACGGCCTGATCGATGCCTCCCACCGGTTCGACGAAGACCTCCTTGGTATCCTTGTCTTATCATACCCAGAACTAACGATCTCGCTGCACACCGGGCCAACATACCCCGCCGAGCAGCTACAAGTCGAGATTGAGAATATCTCGCTGCCTCGTCGTGCCGTGGACGAGCTGCGCAATGCAACACGGGAGATAGTGGCACGGGATGCAGATACGAACAACTATGAGGGATGGGGCAGAAGAGCTCATAGTGGTGATTTTGGGGTTTTTGAATTTGAAATGACCGCATTTCACGTGGCCCGGAGGGCCTTTGAGCACCTCGAGAGTTATCGAGACTCGATTATGGCACCCCGAGAAGAAAGCGAGGAGGATCGAGCAGGTGCCAAGTATGCTGTATCAAACATTGTTAAGACAGCTATGAACTAACCTAGAAACAGGTTTAAAAATGACCTAGTCTCTGACAAGGGTATCGACTTATCATCTATCACCATCGACAGAAAGGCATCCGATGTCCTGGGTAAATTGCCAGATGAGATCTGCTCCCTCGTCCCCCCTTTCTTCCGGATACTGCATGTGGAGAGCGTCCTCCGTAATAATCTCTATTCCAAATTTCTAGCACGCCAAAACGAGATCCGCGACCAACTTTCGGCACTGCCACGGGCTGAGCTCATGGCCTGCATCTACAAGAATAAAAACACTAGGCGTGACACGGTCGAGGAGCTAGTCGAGCATATCGCCGCTCCGAAACTTACCTTCCACGGCACCAGCAACAGTTTCGTCCCCTCCATCGTACAGAACGGTTTTCTCGCGCCGGGCGCCATAAACCCCACGAGCGGCGAAGCGCTTCCCGTGCGCTGCGGAAGTACCTACGGCCGCGGTATCTACTCCTCTCCTTCGGCCGAGTTCTCTCTCTCCTATTCCGGCTCCGAGGCTCAACCCACTGCACCAGACGGCTTCTGGGGCTTGAAGCTGCTCGTCTGCGCAACGCTCATGGGCCGCTCGGCACAGATGCTCCATGACGACCAGTGGTGGACGCGGAGTGAGCCATATCCAGGCGCCCATAGCCACGTCGGCAATGGGTACGAATACGTCGTATTCAACAGCGCCCAAATACTGCCGTGCTACGTAATTCACCTTGACTGGGGAGTAGATAGCAGGCATTTCTTCGCGGATATACTCGAGGACAAGGCAAGCTTTGTAGCAAAGGCAAAACAGCACCCGAAGCTCTTGAACGAGCCGATGGCGCCTGGGGATAGGCAGCGGGCGAAGGAGGCGCTGGTCGCCAAGGCCTCGAAGTATTTCCCGTACGGGTATGGACCGGCGACAGGGACGTCATTTGTGGTTGAGGACGTAGGTGAGGTGGACGAGGATGAGGAGGATTATGGGGAGTACCAGCGTGACAGGATCGATAAGACGCATGAAGAGAGCAACTTTTGGAAGTGGAGTGATAACCCCGCGGGGTCGGAGATGGACGAGTACACCCGCGCGCGGCTTGGGAAGATAAGGGGGAGGAATAAAGATTAGACGGCCAGTATAAAGTCTGGATAAGGTTTTGAATAACAGTCACCTAGGTAAAAGGACAGTCTTCAAAATCTATTTCTCATTTGAGGTATTTATAGCAAATATGAATAAATTCGCTTATTGTCAATATATACTACTTGTTCAACCACGTCCATCATCCCGCCTCCTCGCAGGCCTCTCCTTTGCATCCTTTAAAATCTCATCATAAAAGCTATAGAACGATGTATCCCTCCTCACTATCCCTTGGTCGTGTTTGGCTTCTTCTCCACGCGAATTCGGCCGCCTTCTGTTATCGGATCCCCTAATCAATGACCCCCGCCTTCCTCTCCCCGCCAAATCCTCGTCGCCCACTATCGTCGGTATGGTTTCCTTTGGTTTCTCTTCTCGCGCAACATTATCAGAAAGCGCGGTTTCGGCCGTGTTATTGTATGCCACGCGCAGATCGGAGGGGTTCCACTCGTCTTGCGGCCCCCTCGGCGTCGATTCTAGATTCTTTCTCCTCACGAGGCGATTTTTAGTGCGCAGAGACATCGCAGTTTGTAACACGCTCTGCACCTCGGCCTCCTGGCTCGTATATACTGGCGACTCGTCCACTCTCGCACGGTGCTCCACGGATGGAAGTCGTAGCTCAAGGGCACTTTCACTGGTCTGCGCCTTCGCGTTCTTGGTCGGTATTTGCGGCAGCGGAATCGTCGGCGCCGGGCCGGGGTCTTGACCAAATATACTCACTGGCTTCCTGGGTTTTGTTGCACTGTTTGGAGTTGGCAGTTGGTTAGTGTTGTTTTCAAACCCACAGTTTTTAGCAGCTACCTTCACAATCCTCAGCGGTAGTATCGGCTCGATCTCTCCATCAAAGGGGAAGTCTACGTACCTCGTGACAGGCCTCTTGAATTCTTCCTCGCAGTTTGAGCACAATCCTCTTGGCCCTGCTGGGCATTTCCTCTTGCACAACCTGCACACAACCTCTGCATCCATCCACACACCCTTATTCTCCGGGATCGGTCGTCTTCTGCAAGCAACCCCGGAGGAATCGAGGCAGAGATCGGAACTGTGGATTGAGGACGTGAAACTAGAAACGGGGCTTAGAATTGTTTCTGTATGATGGAAGGGTGGTGGAAGAGGCTCCCCTATGCAGTAGAAGCTTTCGTCATCATCGTCGGGGTAGATGGCATCGTTGCCGCGATGGGAGAAGCTATGAACTGTCTTCTCGGCACTGCGGCGGATGGCGGAGGTAATCGTTCTCCTTGTCGAATCGAGGAGGTCGGCGGAGAAAGCTAGGCTTGAGAGGGCGGAACGGCGGTGACCACCCTCGGGGAGGCCGGCTGAATTTGCATTGTTCGAAAGTGCAGGGTGATGAGGGACTGCAAGGCGGTTTGCGCTGTTGTGGGAATAGGGAGGTATGGATGTGTATTTGTGTTGTGGGGATACAGAAGAGGAAAAATTGGGAGGGGAGATCTCGGGGGGGTTCCAGAAGGATGTGCCAATGGGCCCAGATATGGTGGCCCAGGTAAGTGGATGCGGTCTTGCTGATGCCCGAAGGTTTTCCAACACAGACTTGGATGGGGGAATGACACGCTCCAATTCTCCCAAGACGATTGCCGCGTGTTTTTGGCGCATGTCTGCGACAGAAGGCTCATCCCCATTTGGATATAATGAATATCTTCTGGGAGAGCCGCCCCCTGCCCCGGAGTGGTTCTCGCGCCCGAAACTACCACCACCCGGTAACCTCGGGGCTGAGGACTCCCGTGAGCCGCCTGGGTAATTGCCTGGCGGGCTTTGGAATATGGCATTGCTGGGTGGCAGAGTCAGGTCAGATGGCCTTCGTCTTTGCTTGTGCCGTCTTCTACCTCTCTCCTTCTCAGCCTGCTTCTCTGCTTGAATGACTCCTGGCCATAGGTCATCTCGCAGGGAATTTTTATGAGTCCTGAATCGTCTTTTTGACCCTACTTGTATGATTTGCGAGGGATATGGCTTCATATCGATGAACCCTTGTTTGGAATTTCCATATAATCTTTCTCGAAGGTAGTCTCTAGCCAACTGTGTAGCCGAGCCAGGACCAGGTTCGGCCCTGCCACTCCCATATGACGCACTATGATTTTTTAATTTTGATGACATTTTTTCCACGTTTTCTCAGTTGAGATATGCGGCTTTGGTGTAAAGTGATGTGTTGTGATTATTGTTAGGTTTTATTTCGCAAGAACTTCTGTGGAAGCGCAGAACAGGAAACGGTCATTATATAAGGAAACGGGGGATGAGAAAAGGACAAAAAGAAGACTTGGTGACTATAAAAGAAAGGAATCAAACTTGAAGGTCTTTGTGCTTTTTCTGCAAAGAATCAAAGGGCCATTGTCTGATGTTTGTCTCGTCCCTTATACACATTGTTTGGAAGACATCGGGTGGTTGTGGTTGTGACTGGAAGTGTTTGTTCTGAAAATAGACGTCTTTGATTCGAATATCCGCATGAATAAAAATGTCTTGCCATGTGCCCCATTGGAACTTCAACAAAGAAATTGGTGGCAGGAAATAATATTGGCACCACATCCTTACCACATGGGGGTATGCTGCATGCTCAGGAACGAGCTGGTGCACCCGTAAAAACCCTTATAAACTCAGCCATATATATATAAAATGTGTGTCATTGGCGTAGGTATTGATAGCGGCGACTATTCCATTGTCTATAAATGTTGTTTATGTAAAGTCCCTTCTTTCATGGGTCGTGGAGTATCGTGTATATATGTATGAAACCTCTGCGCCCCGTTCTTTGAAGTCGAGAATCTGTCTCGCTTCTATGTCGTTAATGTATCAAGCAATCTTCTCAACCTTTAATAACCCCTTATCTTGCCCTTCCAAGCCAACAAACCCATCGTTTTCTATCCTCTTCTTCCATTTCGTACTCTCATATCTCGCTAAAATGATGGTCATGCGAAGTATAACGCCGTCACTAGATTCGTGTTCATCGACCCCTTCTGGTACTGGTGTGCATGTCCACCTCCCAAAAGCCCAGTTGAGAATGTATCTTGATGGCCCACTTGCTGCTTCGGTGACCGCAACATCCGCATCAGATCCGGGAATTGGCCTGGCTGCAGTAAAAAGTGCCTTTATGCGGTATACTTCATCCTTCGGCGCTCTTTGCAGTAATTTCGTGAGATTAATTGTGTCCACAGTTGTATCACTCTCTCCAGATGTCAGCGTCACTGACAGAACTTCAACCTCACTTTGGTGATGTTCTTTGTTCGTGCCTCCATGGCTATGTGCATGCTCTGAAGTCTCCTCACCGAGCTCCCTTGCCAAGCTAACATCAATGCCAAATATAACGCCTTGCGGCACGCTTCCTTTGTCACTCTTGACCCAAGCAACTTCCACACCCTCCATATCTCCCAGCCTATCAAGGCACTCGTCGAATCTCCTTTCTCCGGCCGCTTCCCATTTATTAAACACAATCAGATCCGTGAATTTCGCCTGCAGCTTCGCGGTATAACTCGTATCTTCGTAGCCCTTCCAGTTCTCAACATCGATGACGGTCACCACACCATCAAGCGCATATCGACCTTTCGTCTCCCGCGCCAGCCTATTCACCTCCATGGCCAGTGTCGCGGGAAAAGCAGAGCCAGAAGTCTCAATGACAACGCGATCAAGGCCTGGTACGGATTCGCGCAGCTCCTCTAGCGCTGGGCCGAGCTGCCCGACAAGGTTGCAGCATATGCAGCCATTCAGCATTTCCCGGACGCCAGAGATTGCATTGGAAGAGGCGAGCTGCGAGTCGATTGCTAGATCGCCGAACTCGTTCTTGAGCAGCGCCAGCTTGTAGTCGGGGTTGAGAGCTTTGAGCTGGGGGATCAGGGAGAGAAGTAGCGTGGTTTTGCCACTTCCTAGGAACCCCGTCACGAGAGTTATGGGGATGGGCGCCATTGTAAGTTGCTCAGAGTATACTGATGTAGAAAGATCTTCAGCCGTGGAACTTGGTGGGGGAACTTTGGCGGGGGAAGTTGATCTCGATAGGATCTTATCTAATCTATTTGTTATCGCCAGATACCAACGTCATTGGTTGCATCGCAGCTGCACCAAACCACAAAGGGGTCCATCAGCCTTTAGATGGCATACTCGTCGTTGCTATTGTGGCTACAGGTGTGTTCTAGCTATATTGAAACTTCATTTCAGGTAAATATACATTCTTGCAAAAAGCCAGGTGGGTTTGGATCTTTACGACCATGACCGGTCTCAATCCTATATGTGACGTCACCTCCAGCGAAGCTCGAGGTGTATCTTCCATGCAGTGAAGGACAGTTGCTACCTCTTAATTATACCGTGCAGAGCAACGTGTGAAATGTGAGTAGCGATGACTCCCACCAAGACCGGTTGCTAATCTGTTGGCTCTACAGAGTCCGAAAATGTCCCGCCAGCCATGCACCGTCGAGTGCCTTAGGTCTACTGCATCGGAAGCTACCCATACTGTTGCTGAAATACTTGATCCGTAGAAGAGCGCCTCGAAATGGAGACAAGAAGAACCCCTAGACGGTTCTCGAAGACTTCCGTCGCAAGACAAGGACTATAAGAAGCAGTTAGATGGGGCTGCAACAAATGAACGAAGGAGTCGGGAAGAAAGCATTGTAGAAAAAGGTAACTAAACCCACAGGTGGAACGATAGCTGTATATGTGCTGACCACCAACACAGCGGCGTCCTACATTCCTGGGGTTTCGATAGTCCAATCTGCAATCCAAGGCAAGCACGGGGCATCAACGAGCGAAGCGAAGGTTGAAGATGTTGGGAAGCCTCTAACAAGGCCCGCAAATGACGTCCAAGTTGAAGAGTTCTTAAAAGAACAATGTAGAAGCAGGAGTACAGATGAAGACACACCAAAACCAGACGAAGGTTAGGGCTAGATATAATTATCAACAAACGAGTGCGGCCGCTGAAGTTCGTATTTTTGCCATGGGGCATTATGAGGTGTTATGAGACATGTAAGAGCATTTATATTTCTTTATGGCTACCTATTCCATCTAAAAGTCCGAATAGGGACTGCAGAAGGATTACGTATAAACAGCGACTATAATCAAAAGAAAGATTCCCTAGTTACGCATTGGTTATTGTTTATTATCGTTTATTGAGAAGCAGTTACGACCTTATGATGTCTCAGTCGACGTTTCTGTTTTTTGATGATTCCCATGAGGCAATACAAGAAATGTTTTTATTGCACCTTCTTTGGCTATGAGTAAGCTTTGCGAGGAAGGAGCTACTTGACCAACGATGAGCAACCTTGGTCCCTTCATCGTATTGTCGCGTGGACTGGGAAGAGTGTGCAGACATGAAGAAGGAAATTCTGATGGACCAAAACTTCTGTGGACTTGGCGAGCAGATTTATCCAGGGTGGATGGGAGTACATGGGATCCTTATACCTCCAGTTGTTCAACATTAGCCGATGTTCATAATTGAACCGTTGTGTACGATCTCACAAGCTTCACCGAACCGATCACCCACCAAGCCTTGCCAGAACTGGGTAGGTTACCAACACCCCTTCAGCATCTCATCTTCATTACCGTACTTCAAGCTGCCAATCTAATACTCGCAGCACTCTCGCAAATGCCCCTGTATGACTGCGATCCCATGGATCTCCCAATGACCTCTGAGCGGGCTGAGCAATTGGGAAAACTACCTCGACCATGAGAAACAAGCAGAGCTCGATGCTTCCACCTACGAAGAAAGCGAAAATGAGTCACAAGAGCAGCTCCTTGGGTGGTGAGTGGCTCGCGCTTGAGTAGATTGATTTCAGAACACCCAGACCCAAGTGGTGGCAGCGGGAGGAGCGTCTGATATTGGTGTAGCTGAGCGGAAGGCGCGCGAGGCGGGCTCGGTGACCGGCTAGGAGTTAGTGATGTCTCGATGGATGCAAAGGAGAAGGAGCGAATGATGCAGCATCCACTACGACTAGTATGGCCGTAGCTGCCGAAAACCCAACATCTCCCTCCATTGATGGTGCAATCCACTGAGCTGAGAGAACACAAAGAACGAAGATTCAAACAAGTTCCCCAGCATCTTTTTCAACAATCTGCAAACGGGGCCCTTTCATAAAGCGAGAATCCGATAGTGACTATACTAAGCTGCCAGAGGGAAGACCCATCGAGCCTGCGGATATAGTGGTTGAGGAACTCAAACAGAACCGCGCGCGAAATATTAACCCACGATGAGTGCGGCTTCGAACAATCCTGGGGATGGTGGCATGGGCAACCTGGGAACTGGCGCGGGGGGGTCGGACAAGGGTGACGGTAAGGCAATCATGGACGATCCAGACTCTGTTACTGACTCGTTGGTAGACCAGAAACCGACTCGTAATAGACCAGGCCGTGGGACACGAAAAATGAAAAACGTGTTTCGGGATATGAAGGCAATGTCCCGGGAGTTGAACCGTTCACTCAGGAGCCGAGGAAGTGATGAAGTAGTGGAGGGCACTGTGGAAGAAATGCACCATCCTAATATCGGTAGCAGTGGACCGGGCGTGCCAGCAACTGAAGAGGCGGACGACATCGTCGGAACATCTACGGAAGCAGCGCGGGATATCGTAACCTCCAACCCCGGCGTTGACGTGGAGAACCGTGCAGGTCCCAGTAGGAGGAGGACAGAGTGCTCATCTCAGGAGGAGGCTGTAGCTGCTGAGGCTGTGGATGTATATCGAGATTATTATCGGAGAGTGGTAGCCTATAATGAGAACCCTTCGGCAGCACCAACTATGCTGGTGGTGGCTCACGATCCGATTCTGCTTGCTCGATTCCCTGGAATGGGTCCAATAAAGCCGGCGAAACCCAGAAATGAAATAGAAGAAAGGAGAGCTAAAGAGCAATCAAGGCCACGCAGGTGGGACAAAGTGCGCGTTAAAGATTTTGCAGAAATCGCAGAGAATAAAGCAGCCTACCATAAGGCCAAGGCTGCTGAGGAGGCCGGACCGGAGGGCCAGCCGCCGAGCAGGGAACCTGATTTGAGACACTTCGACCCGAGTTCCGAAGCACAAACGTCGCTCCGGAGGTCGGAGGAAAGGAGAAGGGACGAGAAGCGAAAGTCTGATGAAAGGAGGTCGAGAGAACAATCCGGCGAAGAACCTCCGAAATGGCCAACTGTTAGATCTCTGATCCCTCCTGACTCTCCGGCTCCTGCAGGGCCCGTGATTCCTCCTGGGTCTCAGATATCTCGTGGGCCTCAAGGCCCTGCTATGTTTTCAGCGCCCGCTGAGCCTGGAACCCCTTCTAAGGATCCGGCGCCTGTCGAACCTGTTGAGCCTGTCGAGCCTGGCGCCTCTGATGAACCGGGAAAACCTACTGAGCCTGTTGCTGAGCCTGTTGACCCTGGCGCCTCTGGTGAACCAGTAAAGCCTACCGATCCTGTTGAGCTTGTCGAGCCTGACGCCTCTGGTGAACCGGGAAAGCCCACTGAGACTCCTGAGAACGATGAAGAAGGAGACAGATCAGGAAGGAAAAGGAAGTGGTGTTGTTTATGAGAAAGAAGATGGAAGATGGTATTTGGGAAGTCGGATGGGGTGGCACATACAGAGTTATGAGCAGCATGGAGTTGGGTTATTACCTTTGGCGCGCACTGATGGATGCGTGGGCCTGTTTAGATTGGCCTCGACAGCAATAAGTAAGGGATAAGATGCACTGTAGCATTAACAGCATTACAGATAAGCGTTTTCAAATAAAATCTCCTTTTACCAACCTATTTCCTATTGCTATTGATATAGTGTATGCGCCTAGCGATATACTCGAATTCTCACCCACTAACTATTTTACAATACTCACATCATATACTATTCCCCCTTGTATGATTGTAACGACCCGCAAAAGTATTGCCAGAGCTTGGCAGGATCGCTCACCAGAACTGAAAGAAGCAGTAAAAACAGCGGGGATAGTAGAGATAGCATAACCATATTATTTATATCCTATATGAGACCATTTCCTTAAATTAGATCCAGTCCAATAAATAAATAAAAGATAAGCAAGCAATATCTACGCCAGTCCAACATCCCCCTAATTCCCCTTCCACTTCCCGAACCGAACCCATTCCCCAATCAACCCCCTCAGCACATCCCTCCCACTCCTATCCATCTCCTCTCCCAACACCTTCCGTCCCTCCGCACCCATAGCCGAAAACACCGTCCAAAGACCCCTCTTCAGCTCCTCCCGCACCGCAAGCTGCATCCGAGAACTCGGATCGAGACTCAGCTTCACATACGCCCCCACGATAACAGGTAGGTGCGCGCCAGCTTGGCGCTTAGCCTTCGCCGTCGCCGAGACGAGCGGGGTGGCAGTGGACGCGCGCACCGCTGTGGCGGCCGGGTCAGCGATAGTGGTAAGCAGACGCGTGTAAGCCTCCGCATGCTTGGCGCCGAGTTCCGCAGTGAATAGCGGGGCGAGCAGCGCAAGCAGCGCGAGGTTAAGTAGCGGCGCGCGCGAGGTGACGGATAACCGGTGCGTAGTGAGGAGGACACCCAGGAGGGAGGTTAAGTGCGTGTGTGTCCGCGCCGGTGAGAATCGGGGGCGCGAGAGGTGCGCGGGGATGGCAGCGAGGGTGCTTTCGATAGCGTGTTGGGTTATGCAGCGCGGTTTTGTGCGGAGGGTGTGTGAGAGGATGGAGGTGAGGAGGGAGAGGTGGGGGAGGGATGGGGGGGAGATGAGGGTTTTGGTTAGGGAGGTGTAGATTGTTGAGAGGGAGTTTTTGGCGTCGGCGGCGGTGGAGGGGGGGGATTGGTCTGTGGTGGTGTTAGGGAGGGATGGGGTGGGGGGGGGTGGACTGACCTTCGCACGACTCGAGCACGTAGTGTATGGCTAACAGCTTGTCGAGGTTCTGTGCGCTACCGGGGAGTAGGCCTCGTACCACTAGATCACGCTTCTCGCTCTCACCCATCGTTGCGGTCTTTGCCTGCATGGCTCTCATGATAGCGACTCTACCAGCAGAGGTTGTGACATCTTCGTCGAACAGGTCAGACTCCTCGACCTTCGAGGGCTCGGCGGTGTGCGTGATGAAGAATGTCTTGATCTGGGACGCAAGAGCCGGATTCCTCTCTTCCACATCCTTTGCGCAAGTGGTTGCGTCGTCGTAGAGATGGGGTAGCGAGCGCGGGCCCACCTCCAATACCGGGTTCTCTAGAGCGCGGATGGTGCTGTAAAGCGACATGGAGCGCTCATCTGTCTCTCTCTTCAGCTTGGAAGGCTTCTGCACCAAGCGCCTCAGGTTTGATACGAATTCGTCTCTGAACGCTGTCTTGATTTCCGAAATCTTCTCGGCGGTCACCCCTTCAACTTTCAGCACCCTCGACTCGTTTGAGGCGAGGAAAGATAAGAAGACTACAGCCAGTTGGATTCGTCCACAGCCAATTGTGGACTTGCTGCTATCATCAGGGCCACGGAGACGTAGTTCAGTCAACATGTCCCTAACAAAGGTGTCACTTTTGGCTTGGCCAATGGTGTCACCGATATGCCCAAGCGTTCGTCGAGCATACTCGGCAAAGGCATCAAGAGGCGCCCTCGGACCCGGACTCAGTTCCGAAATAGCTTGCGAAATAGAATCAAGATCTTTATAAGTGAACCCCTCATAAATGGTAGGTCTTTCCATCATCTTCATCTTCAGACTGATGACGGCGGCGTCAATATTGCTCATTCGATAAGCTAATGTCTTGGTATCATTGAGTGATGGTTCTGGCGCCGCTGGTGGCCAGGCCTTGAGCACGCGCTCCCTGATGCTCCTCTTGAATACTTCGATGGGCAGGCTGTTTAGGCATTCGATCGCGAAGCCGTTGCATGACGACCGGCTTTCGATCGGATTGCTTTCATGAGTGCCGCTCTTCAATATGATATCAATGATGATTTCTATAAATAGTATGATTAGCTTCGTGCTTCGTCCAACATATTTGCCGGGTGCATACCAATTAACTCCTGATCATCCAGAATGTCATCGTTCTTCAACATCGTCCGCCAGAGCCCAGGGAAGGCATCATTGTTGCGTCGGAGCCAGCCATTGGGGCTGTTCTCTGCGCTGAAAGGGGTCGTCATCGATGCGAGCCAGAACAAGGTCTGGAGGACTGGTTCCCCATTTTTAACCGGAGCCGCGACAACCCTAATAAATATTAGCAGGAGAGAGAGACGCTGGGGATTCAGCATAAAACGTACTTGATGAGCTTCGGATAATCGACGAGGATGATCTTGGCAAGGGCGAATGCAGTATCGGGGGTTTGAAGCTTGATAGCAATAGAACGCCTCGCTGCGTCCTTCTTCTTCGACCCCTTCCCGCTGGGTGCAAACCACGGAATCGCATCCTCCTTAAAGAAAGACTGCGTTACATCGTTCATAGCCAGAACAAGCTTTTCATTGGCCAATTCCTTGTTCACCAACGATAGCAAAGTATGCTGCGAGGCTGCGCTCCTGAATAGCTCGACGAGCGAGTTGGACGTTGTTACAATGATGCGTGCATTAGATACATGATTGGCCATGTCTGCTTCGCTACCCCACTGCTTTTGGAAGGCCGTCAGAGAGGTCGCGTCCATAATGTGCGTCAGGATTTGCGGTTGTCGGAGCTTATAACGTTCTGGGACATCCTTATGTGCCATAGCCCAGGAAAAGGCCCACAGCGGGAGTTCTGTAGTGCCGACAGTTTCTTCGCGGGTAAGTGCGCCGGCGACAGCATCCATCATCACCAGAGCGGGCCCTGGGCTGCCTGTCTTCTCCCGGATTCCATCTAGAACAGACTTGATCTGCTCCGAAGTCAAAGAAGCCTCCATGATTTCCTTCAGCTTTGCGAGGAGTGCATCATCCTCCCAAGCCCCGAAATGACCCAACTCATGTTTTGATGGGCGCTCTGAAATGATAGAATCAAATGCAACAAGCTGTTCGTACCAATGGTTGATAAAGCCCGTCAGATCACGAGCCTTGGCGAAATCGCCCATCAGTGGCACGAGGATCTTGTCAACATATGTATCTGCCTTATCAGGCCACTCTGGTGTTGTTGACAGGAGGGTGATACGCGATAATAGCTCTTTGAGTAGATCCTTCTCGACGACATTCGGGATGGTGAAGACGAGGCCATCCAAAGCGATCACTGTGGCGATGATCTCCTCATCCGTTCCTTCACTATGAAGCCCACACTCCCAAGTAATAGACCGCAAAAGATCAATGTCCAGCGGAATCTTGTGCTCTAAGCACATCTTCATCATCTTGTTAATAGCTCCATTCTTGACCTCCCTTTGGTCAGTTGGGCAAGCATCAGAGAGGACCCTGAAGAGGGCCTGTAGCCATGCGGCATCCTGGGTGCGGCTGCGATGCGTACTATTTGGTTGTAAGCTGTGAATCGCGTTTTCGAAAAGGACGGGCGCCAAATCGGGTCTCGCGGCCACAGCGTTGGTGACGAACGATGCGAGGACATCCGTTGTCTTGGAGGCTGTATAGGCGTTTCTTGCCGGTAGGATGATGTTGCGGCTCAGAAGCTGCTCAAGCTGTGTTTGCCACTGCGGAAGGAGCTCCGGGGACGAGGATAGGTTTAGCAACGGCTCCAGACAGTGCGTCGAGAATAGGAGGCTATCATCACCGCCATCCATGCGCGCCTTCCATGTCTCGATGAATGGAGTAAGCCACGCAGCAAGTTGCGCCTCATCACCCCTATCTCGGGTAAGCCGACACAACTCGAGCCATGACCCAAGCAGCTTCGCCGATTCCTCAGGAGCAAGCCTGGTCACGGACTTCATGTACTCAGCCGCAAAAGCTTCGCCCTCCAGTTGTTCCTCCGGCGTCGCAAGCCCCACAATCTGCTCGAGAACCTCGTGCATCGCCTCCGCAACATCATAAGTCTCCTCCTCAATATTCCCATTCGTCACAACTTCCTCTCCCCTCTTCCTCTTCCTCGACCCCGATTTATCAGCCTTAAGCACCTCCTCTTCCTTCCTCTCCATCTTCCTCCTCCCAACCGCCTCCTCAGAACCCAACCTCAACATCCCCACCCCCTTCCGCTCATTCAAACACCTCGCCGCCGTCGGCACCGGCACCCTCTGCACGAGACACCTCAGCAGTCTCCACGCCTGTGGACAACGTCTAGCCTCCTCACTCCCCAACTTCTTCAGCAGCCATCTCAGCACCCACTCCTCCCTGCCGTGAAAATTGCCCGTCCTCGCCTCCCCCGGCGTCGTGATAGCCGTCTGCAGGAAATCGAGCCACTCGATGCCAGCGAACTGGCCCGCCTGCTCGAGTTGCTCCGCGATAGGAGCGTCTTCCTTCTCGAGCTCTGCGAGCTTCGTCTGCGCCTCTTTCGCCTTCAATATCATCTATCAGCAATATCCCCGCAAGCCTGGTATAGTGGGGTACGTACCATTGTCATTGTCAAAGGTCCACCGTTGGAAGAGGGAAGCTGGCAGGTGCAAGCTTCTAGAGCGGTACGACCATTTACTATTGCAGGAATAATTTGGGGTGAATGGGCAGAATCCCAGATTGCGCCACCGCCTTCCTTACTTCCTCTAGCGCCAACGTCCGAGCTCCCTATCACATTTCGATATCACGTGACCATGGGACGATTTTTATTATTATTATTGCAACGTTTTTTACAGCGGCAATGCAAGGCTACGACCAACAGGCTGGATGAATAGAAACACTAGGCGATGAATAGAAACACTAGGCATACAATGGCATCGGATGAACGGGTAAGGCGACACACACTCTCTCCCCTCCCTCCCCTCCCTCCCCTCCCTCCCCTCTCGCTCCTTTCCCTCCCCTCCCTCCCTCCCTAGCCCAGAAACGGGATCGGCCAGCACGCTCCATCCAGCAGCATCACGAGGCATCAGATCCGATCCCCCATCCTCCTGCGCCCACCCCCATCGGGTTCGGCCTGGCCTCACTCTCGAGGGCGGGAGTGGGCGCTTGGAAGGGAAGGGGCTTTGCAATTTCGGCACGATACGAGGGGGGCACAGCAGAGGAGGGAGGGCTGCGCAATTCGCGTACCTGATGGATCCGAGTCGTAGTGACGGAGGCCGAGTTGGGGCTCACCGATCGTGGTGGAGCGCTGTACGACGGCGGAGGGCGCACCCCGCTTAGATCAGGGGGTGCTAGGCAGCGCGTTTTGCTCAGCGCGCTGTTGTGCGAGCCTTGGGGGCGGGAGTGAGAAGGGGAGGAGGGGAAGAAGGGAAAGAAGGGGAAGAAGGAGAAGAAGGGAAGAAGGGGAATAGGGTACCCTCCCTCTGACTCTAGGGGAAGAAGGGGAATAGGGTACCCTCCCTCTGACTCTAGGGGAAGAAGGGGAATATGGTACCCTCCCTCTGACTCTAGGGGAAGAAGGGGAATAGGATACCCTCCCTCTAACTCTAGGGGAAGAAGGGGAATAGGGTACCCTCCCTCTGACTCTAGGGGAAGAAGGGGCATAGGGTACCCTCCCTCTGACTCTAGGGGAAGAAGGGGCATAGGGTACCCTCCCTCTGACTCTAGGGGAAGAAGGGGAATAGGGTACCCTCCCTCTGACTCTAGGGGAAGAAGGGGAATAGGGTACCCTCCCTCTAACTCTAGGGGAAGAAGGGGCATAGGATACCCTCCCTCTGACTCTAGGTGTGAGAGCGAAAGCATACCTAAGGACCTCAAAACTTACGTCTTCGCATCTCCCCCATCTCCATCCCTCCTCCATCGACACACGACACACGACACACGGTGACCCCCACGGAAATGTAATATGCGATGTGGTGGTCCCCCACAATCTGAGGCAATTAAGACGGCAGCAGGAGCAGCGGGAGCAGCAGCTGAGGCAGCGTCGCGGCGGAATAAATGCACATCCCTATTCCGACCCGCATCGCTCACTCCCTGCAGCCCTCCTGCCCCGACACCTCCGACACCTCTCCCACCTACCTCTCTCAGTATCAGTACTTCAGCAGCACCTACATCGCTGCACCTCGTAGCCCCGCCCGCCTGTTCTTCAGCCAGCAAGGGCAAGGTACCCCCTGACAGAGCCAGCACGCAAGCACGCAAGCAAGAAGCAAGCCATACGGGCATGCAGCCGCGGGCGTCGGCATGCTCTGGCAAGCCAGCAGGCACGTGGCCGCTCTTGCTATCTATCGCTGTCGCGATATTACAACAGAGGGGTGTCGTGCGATAGGGCAGCAGCGAGACCTACCTTCCGGGAGAGAGGCGTGGGCACGATAGGGCAGCAGCGAGACCTACCTTCCGGGAGAGAGGCGTGGGCACGGTCGATCGGGTGGAGGCATGGCTACATACAGTACTATACGTAGTTGCTGTGGTGTTTCGAGCAGCGGCGTGGCGTACTTGGTAAGCCTTGGAAATGGGTACTTGGGGGGCAAGTAAGTATGTAGTGGGGGAGGGGAGGCGAGGGTACGAGAGTTTCAAACAGCATCCCGTGAACGGGACGGAAGATGGCAGGGCGCCCTATGCCGAGCAGACCTGCGTCTCGGGTCGTCGGGGCGGTTGCTTGGGTTGTCAAAGTCAAGTCCCCCCCTGCTGGGACGGGATGAGGCTTGTTTGGCGTCATCGTTTCGGGGGAGCCACTGGTGCGGAGATGGCGCTGTTGGGGAGAGGGTATTTATGGAATGAGCCGTGTTGGTTAGACGAAGCCAACGCCGAGGCGACGATATCCCCTCTGCCCTCAGACCTGTGGGATATTATTACCCATATACCCACAACTAAGCAAAAGCAAAAGCAAAAGCAAAAGCCTGCCGGCCTGCCTGCTAACCAGCTCTGGTGGTGCACGAAAGCACTCCTCTACCGTGACGTGCATAGGCATCTCCGCCATGTCCAATCCTCAGCACGCCCCTCACCACTCGACGCACGTACGTATATACACACATGTATATCTCACTGTAGTAATAATAGTGGTGCTAGGGCGGCATGGGGTTTCGAAAATGGTTTGCAAAGTTCGTTTACTTGTGTGGTTTAGTTGTGTTTGTTGTAAGGTGGGGGTTGGTGGTGGGTTAATGACGCAGAAAAGCAACAACGAGTTACGGAGTAGTTGGGGGAGATAGGGGAGATAGGGGATAACAGGGGGCGGGGATGGGACAAGCTAAGAGGTTGCCTATGCTATGACGTGGGTAACTTAGCGCGATGGGGCAGCACGACACAACCTCGCACACCGAAGACTTGGTAGGATGGTAGGAGGGCTCAATGCCAACTGACCAGTAAATCTGGGGTTTTGTAATGAAAAAGAGGTTGGCGGGGTTGATACTTTGGTACGTACTATTATTTCCGGTAGAGTCAGGCTCGCTCGTATACTCGTCATTTTAAAGAACAACAACAACAACAACAACAACAACGACGACGACAACAACAACAACAACGACAACAACAACAACAACAACAACAACAACAACAACGACAACAACAACAACAACAACCCCGTCAGCAAGATGCAGCCAATGCAACTGGGGTCAGTGAGGCGCACATGACCGCGGGGCATGACCAAGAAGTCGGGATAACTGGGGATGCCTGACCCATGTCCCGACAAGGAGTAGTCAAGGCAACGATCAGCGTACCTGTTGCCTGTGCAGGAAGCACTCAGGATGCGGTGTGGTGCAGAACATCGCCCTCTAAACTCGTGGCGCCCGTGCTTTCTGTGCTTCTGGGTGCTTTCTGTGCTTCTGGTCCGCTGGTTGGCTGGCTTACGACCCCATACGTGGCTGTTTCGTGGGTACTCGTACGAAACGAAGCCATCACATTCGGAATTTGCCTCGGCCGCAAAGAAACCTTTTTCGTGCTTGTGGTTGTGCTTGTGGTTGTGGTTGTGCTTGCAGAAGTGCGTGCAGAAGTGCTTGCCTCTGCCTCCCCTCAACTCGGGACCCGCCTGCACCAAGCTGCGTCGTGGCTCCGCAGCAAGCTCACCACCGCCCGGCGCAGGGCGCGGAATGGAATTGTTCGTTGGGGACCGGGAATCAGCGCAGCCGGCTGCCCGAAGGCGCAAGGATAGTATAGTTCTGATTGCGGGCTCGCGATTGGAGCCATCTGTCGTCGCCATATCACCGTCTGTTATAGGACGAGGTAAGTACCTGGGCGACGAGCTGAGGCAACGGGGGAATGGCGAGTCCGATTGGATGCCGTGCAGCAACTCTGATACTCTGCCAGCGTCGGCGGGAGCTTCGTTTGCTCGTGCGGCGGTAAGATAGTCACGGCGATGTGCGACGCCGTCACGTCACCGCCACTTCATCCCTTCTCACACCCGGGTGAGCACATCTGATGCCCCCTCCCTCGCAGCAACAGCAAAAGGACAGCTGCAGGCAGTTTTTGTGGTGGGTTGGTGTTGGTTTGGTGGGTTGCGGTGGGAGACAGGTCATCTGTGTACCTGCCTCGCATGTTTGGAGGTTGTGTGATGGAGTAACCCCGTCGCACACATCTACCCCCAGCGGTTCCATTCAGCCCATTCAGATCACTGGGTCACTGGATGATTACCGAGTACCACCGATTCACCACTGGTTCACAACCTCGCAGATCTGAGTAACGCTAAAGCTGACAAAAATGTGACAAAAGTGACGGTACGCTTGCGGTCGCCGTGCCTTCTCATGTGTGATGATGGGGAATGTACTCAGTAATCGTCGTGACCAATTTTTCGCTTCGCTCAAGGTGCGGGGTTTCGCAATATGTAGGCTATAAGTACCACTACATAGTAATTTGTATGTAAAGGTACATACATAATCAATCATTGTAAGAAATTATCACTTCATCACTCCCACGCTCACTCCTACACTCACTCCTCCCACGCTCACTCCCACCCTCGCTCTCGCACTCACTTGATCCTCTAGAGAATTGGGTTGCTAGCTCGAAGAAGAGCTTTTACCCTCTTTTTCTAGAGGCGCTCTGCCCTCTAGGCCTCAACCCTAGCTCTTTTAAGCTGGTTATTAGCCTGGTTTCTAGCCTAGCAGGCTACCTAGGCTTCTTTAGCTATAGGCTTCTAGGCTTGAAGCCTGGCTTTCTAGGCCTAAAGCTCGTGAGCATGAGCAGCTTAGAGCTCACCTCCAAACTAAAGCTAGGCTTAGCTTATAGGTCGTGTTCTTATAGCTAGCTGCCTACTACAACCTTTTAGTCTAGTAAGCCAATTGTAGTAGCTCTCTTTTAAGGGACTACTAAAGCCCTCTAGAACCTAGTGTTTCTAGTACTATAGCCCCTCTTCTACAGCCTGAAAAGTAGAGGGTTTAGGTGTAGAAATCTGTATTAGTAGGGTAGGCATAGTAGGTGTAGGCATAGGCTGTGTAACGGGGTGCCAACCATTATAGTGCATTGTATATATAGCGTGTTATGCGTATTCTACTAAGCTGGAATACTATAGTCTTTTTGGCTTAGTAGGATGTAGCACAAGTGTAACTATACATCATTATAGGGTGTAAGTAGGTACATAGCTTCATAATAGCTGTATTACAGCTTATTATTGGCTAGATTCTAGCTTTCTAGAAAGCTAAGACTATTATAGACTCCTTAAAAGTGTGCTTCTGGATTTGGGTGAGATCTCTTATGAAGGATTGTAGGTTGTAGGTAATGTCCATGTCTCATATAGCTCTGAGCATAGCTAATCTATGCTAGTGCTTATAAGGCTAGAACACTCCTATATCTAATGGCTGTAAAATGTGTGTGAGATGTAAGGGAAAGGTGTATATAATGATGTTATGTTCTTTTGCTACAATGACAAAGTCATGGCTTATATGGCTTATATAAGATTCGAGTAGTAGAACCTTCATATCCTCTAAAGCTATATGCTTTGCAAAATGCTCTAGCTACTGAAGAGCAAGCTGGCTATTTGAAAATCTAGAGTCTGAGAGTAGTACTAGCTCTGTGCCTTTGAGGTTCGTATAGTACTAAGTGTCATACTGACATTCGTTGCACTCAGTTTGCTATCAAACTCAAGAGCAAACTTAGAAATCTCCTCAAACCTACAAGTCACCATACATATCTTGGCTTATCACACCAACAACAGAAGCAATACTACTCAACGATTGCTGCAAACTCTTCTACTACATCTGTTTATGCTACATACATCACGGCATATCATTTGGACACTCATTGAACAAGTTATTAAGAAAATCTCCTCCTTAAGGGGGTGGGTCAATACTACCACATGGCATATCTCTACCAACTAGAGGCCTAGGAACATGAACGATAGCTCTAGAAGCTTCTACAACCCTCTATGATTCATTACACGTCATCGCTCCTTAGTTACCCACAAGATTGGTTAAGTTATGACATAATTTGTCTATAGGTACTCTGACCTTGGACCTCCTTTTCACTTCCTATAGGCTAGGAACCCAAGAGATGGTTCTATGGGATTCTCTTACGTTCACTACATGATTAGCAAGCTAGTTGTGGGTCGCACTTGATTTCTAATACATTTACCAAGCCTGGTTAGTCATGGAAAGTCATGGAAAATGAGAGAACTACACTCCTTTGGCATAAATAGGATTGTCCTTTCCTTAAGAAAGGGCAAGCAGACAATACAGTAAATCGACTAGCACATACTTCTACGTCTTTTCCAAGCTTCCAAGCATTGATCTTGTTATTCTCTGTTTTTGAAAAGTCAGTGAGGTGCTAACCTCTGACTTACCCCTGAGTTCTCAGACTCAACATTTGTTGCAACTTGTCTAAACCACTTCACCACATCATACACCTGATTGCTGCGTTGTGGAATAGTCTAAGCTACAACCCTTTGGCTCTGTTTCCTAAGACAGTGTGTTGTCTTAGTAAATTCATCCCTTCCTTGGGTGGCTAGATTCTCACATCTGGTGCACCCACCATTACACTAAGAATCCATATGTATTTTGCCTAGAATGACAAGTACAGGTGGTATGACTTTTCCTACTATAGACACAGCCTCTAGGATAGTAATAGACATACGATTTTCAGGGCATAGAGCTCCTTTGCTATTCATAGTACCATAACCTTCTCACCTCCTGGAATTCTAATCCTAAAGCCTGTTTCATCTATATTCCAGATTAACTCTGGCTTTATACCATGCTCTAGTATAAACTCATGGTACTCTCGAAACCACCGTGTAATAGTATTCTCATCTTGAGCTTTCGTACACTGAAGTGCAATAAGTCCATTAAATGAATTGTATAGGATTACAATATAAATTACTATCTACATCTATGGAAAATGTTTTGGTTAAGGGGTAGCGGTGAACGGACGCCCGTCCGAAACCGCGCACATCGCTTCCGCTCATTTTGAAACCGCACGGATCGCTTATTCTAACCTTTGAGCGAAGCGAAAATTTGGCCACGACGATTAGCCTATCAAGCACGTGGGGAACGTCAAACGGACGGATTCAGAGAAAGAAAAGCGACCAGGGAGGGTCGCCCCCACAATCAGAACTTCACACCGCAGTAGGTAGGTCAGACGCTGAGCTAGTGTTAGACCTGTTTTCGTTTCTGTTGGGTTTTGGGTCGGTGCGGTGTGGTTTCCTCCACCGCGGAATACGAGCTGCATGATAATTGAGGAATTGCGGAGGGGGCTGTGAATCATTCGGCGTCATGGCGGTGGCGAGGGGAGCGGAGGAGGGGAGACAAGCAAAGAAAGGAGGTAGGGTAGGCGGGATATTGTGGATGGCTGTCATATCGTCATAGTTTGGGAGATCACAAAAGGGGCATTGTCAAGACCAAACAAGGGCAGCGAGCTACATGTACTGTTTCCGGCCGTCAGACGCGGTCCCTTAATAACAATGAAAATCCCACCATTTCCCAAGTGCGTGTTAGCCCCAAGACAGGTTGTTGAAACATTGGAAAATAGTAAAAAAAAAAATAGATGGATACTGCGCCCTACAGTACTTTTACTATGGTAGAAGTGGTAGAAAGTGGTACAGTGGTGTGTAAGTGGGACAGTTACTGAGTGGGAGGGCAAGGTTCCCCACTAATACATGTTAATACCTACGGGAGGGGTATCATCCTTAATCCATTCATGTACTCTTTGGTCCGTATATTACTGGAGTTCTGTGACTAGAATGTTGGAGTAAGCGTACGCGTATAGCTATTCGTCCTCCCGTGATACTGCTGATAGTGGCTGACAAGCTTGCCCCAAAGTCCTTTCCCCCTTAGAATAAGCCTTATAGGTACCTTGCCGTAAAGTAACTCTACCCTACTCCCTCTCATCTAAAAACTATTCGTACAATACTAAAACCAAAAAATACTTTTGTCCCAAGTACTCTCTCTAGCTTACCACCCCACCCTCCACCCAACTTTACCGTACCCACCTCTAGCATTCACTATTCGCTGTACCTCTTATCCCCGTACCCAACCCGTACCACACTACTCACTTTTTTTTACTCACTTACTCACCTTTTTGCCTCAAAAATATACTAAAATACTAAAATTCCAGCCACCCACAACCCTCAATAGCGCCCGTTCACCCCGTCCACGCCCAAAACCCAACTACTACCTCCTAAGTTACCCTCCTACTCTACCCTCCTACCCTCTACCTAACCTACCTAGCCTACCTAACCTACCTAGCCTACCTAACCTACCTAACCTACCTAACCTACCTAGCCTACCTAACCTACCTAACCTACCTAACCTACCTAACCTACCTAACCTACCTAACCTACCTAACCTACCTAACCTACCTAACCTCCTCCCTCCTCCCTCCTCCCTCCTCCTCTCCTCCACAATCAATTAAAATCCCTGGTCTCTGCTTCTTTATATCTTCTATCTACCTTCTACCTTCTACCTTCCTTCTACCTTCTACACCTTCTACACCTTCTACCTTCTACCTTCTACCTTCTACCTTCTACCTTCTACCTTCTACCTTCTACCTTCTACCTTCTACCTTCTACCTTCTACCTTCTACCTTCTACCTTCTACCTATACCTTCTACCTACTACCAGGTTCACGCTCTTTAACAATAATAATAATACATACTCCATCTGTTGTTGTTGTTCTGCTATCTGCACCTCTGTGCTCCACCGCAGTCTGCATCATACCGATCCTAGTCTACCGCCTCCCGCCGCCTTGTTGTACGGCGACTCACTCAATCAGCAATCTTCAAATAAAAAATATATATATATTCGGAACGCACCAATAATCAACTGCCTGCCTGCTGGAACACCAGGATACTCCACACGAAAAGATCTGCCTATATCAAACAGATCCCCCTCAGCTCCAGGAGCCCGTCCATTTCCAATTTCAGCCTTGTGCAGCTTCTACAGTTCGCATGCGACTGGGTTGCCTTGTACTGTACACCTGGCGCCTACAGATCTCCAAAAAAGCTACGTGCTGCAGACCTCGCTCAAATCGGCATCTCACCTCGCAATAAACTTGCTGCTGCATACCACGCCGGCTCAGCTTGTGCGCACCTGATATTCCCCACATTCTTTCTTCAACCCCTGGCTGCAGGTCGACCGTCAGACGCCCGCATATACAAACAATTACGACCCTACCTACACCTACATAAACACGGCCTCCCTCGACAGCCTTGCGTCTGACACGCCGAACGACCGACCGACGCGTTGGCTGCGTGGACAAACCAAGGGCCTTTCTCTCCGGTCCCCCAAATCCCTGTCAAATTGGCACCCAGAGAAAGAAATATGAAGACAATTAAAGATACCACTCGCTCGTCGTAGCTCGGCACTGCAGTCTCCTACCCTGCGATCCCTCGAAGCTATCGCTGATGGCCTCGTTATAACGAAATATTCCACCACCAAACTTCCACTTATCACTACTGTTCCTCGAATCCGCAACGCCATTCTTTATACCTCCTCCCCCCACCACCACGATGGCTCACCAACCCACCATACC